TTTTATCAAACAATAAATATACAGTAGGGAAAATGAACCTTAGCCCAAAGAAATTCCTATATTTTTCTTTAAAACACGGGTTTTTACTAAAAAACAAATATTTTCAAAAATTGACTTATATATCGGTATAGTTTATTATTTTAATATAACAATAGAAATAAATTGGTTTTTCTTTGGGCTAAGGTTAATTTCCTGGGCTAAGGTTTAATGGACCAACTGTATATTTTATTGAGAGTCAGTCGATAAACGTTGTCTGTTCCTTAAATGTTGTTTTTTTGACAAAAAATAATTGATTTTTGTTTTAAAAAAACGGGAATTAGGTAAAAATGAAATACTTGGGAAAAATATTGAAACAAGGATTTTGGGGGTTTTTAAAAAAATCCCGAAATATTTTATTTATAATGGTCTAAAAATCGGCAAAAAACCTTACAGACCAGACAACTTTTAGCAAATGACCCTAATATTTTTAAATAATGTTTTCGAAAAAAACAATTTAAACATTTCATGTTGTAAATCAAAATTAGAGTGTTTAATTTCAAATTGTATTAAATTTTATATATAAAATTGTTGATAACTTAGTTATTAGTTAAAATAATCATTATTTTTTGGTGTTTCAATTTTTACTATACTTTTTGATTTTATTTGTAATTATATATAATACAACATTTTGATATTTTCAAAATTGTAAAAGGGTTTCAATTTAAAATAAAAAATATAGTAAATTTAAATTATTTTTATAATACCAATTAAAATTTATTTTTTGACAAAAAAAATTCAAATTTAAAATTTGACACAGAATAATGAACTCTAAAACACATAAAAACCATATATTATAATATTTTTAATTACAGCAAATAAAAAAAATGGTGTCTTGGGATAGACAGAACTGTTGAAGAACTTTAAAATAAAGGGATGGGTTTTTTCAAGACACTCCTTCAACTCATCTTAAAGAATAGTGCGATCACTATCATATGTGTGATAGCGTTTTCATCGCGGTTATACTCTATAGTGAAATACGAGGCAATCATTCACGAATTTGATCCGTATGTTTAACACTTTATTTTGCATACTGATTCTTAACTTGGATAACTTCTTTGTCTCTCTGACATTATAATTTACACACAACAATTAATTAATTAATAGGTATTTCAATTTTAGAGCAACTAAATACTTGGTCGAGCACGGACCTACTGCTTTCATGAATTGGTTTGACCCAGACAGTTGGTACCCGTTGGGTCGTAACATCGGAACCACCGTTTTCCCAGGTTTGATGTTCACAAGCGCATTCATCTTCAAGTTTTTGGCCTTTTTCAATTTGATTGTGGATGTACGACTGATTTGCGTGTGCATGGGCCCAATTTACTCGGTTATTACATGCATTACGGCTTATTTGTTTGGTTCAAGAGTTCATTCTGACAAAGCTGGACTCTTTGCTGCTGCGTTGATCTCTGTAGTTCCTGGCTACATGTCCCGGTCTGTAGCTGGTAGTTTCGACTATGAGTGTATTTCTATTACCATTTTAGTGCTCACGTTGTACTTATGGATTGAAGCCGTGCACAACAACTCACCTATTTTAAGTGCCATGACTGCTCTTTCATACTTCTATATGGCAAGTTCATGGGGTGCTTATGTCTTCATCAACAACATCATTCCTTTGCATGTCCTCATTTCGATATTCTGTGGGTATTACAGCAAGAAGTTATACAGCTGCTACTCCATTTACTACATCTTTGCCACGATTTTATCAATGCAAATTCCATTCATTAATTACGTTGCAATTCGATCATCTGAGCACATTGGTGCGTTTGGAGTCTTTGGTATTTGTCAACTGATTGAATTATACAATTTAATTAACAAACTCGTTGGGCAAAAGAAAATACTCGAAGCAGTCAAAAAAGGCCTTTTAATGTTTATTGGATTTGGTATTGTTGCGGTGATAGTTCTGATTAAACAAGGATACATCAGTGCTTGGTCTGGGAGATTCTATGCACTCTTTGATCCAACTTTTGCTAAAAAGAATGTCCCACTCATCGTGTCTGTCTCGGAACATCAACCGGCAAATTGGGCGTCATACTTCTTCGACCTCCACGTACTCATCGTCATCGCACCAGCGGGGTTATATTACTGTTTCAAGAAGTTTGACTTCAATATGCTCTTTTTGATCATCTACTCAGTCTCGGTGTTTTACTTTAGTTGCGTCATGTCACGTCTTGTGCTCATTTTAGCGCCAGCAATTTGTTTGCTCTCAGGTATTGCACTTGCCGAATTTTTCACGAAAATCGAGAAACAAATGGAAAAAGTCCTCAAAATAATTTTTACTAAAAAGGAGGAGAAGGAAGTGAATGCCAGTGAAGATAACACCGAACAGAAAGTCAAAAAGGCGATTCAGAAGAACAAAGAAAAGAAGGAGGAGAAGAATGCATTTACAGAAACACTGGGGTTTGTCTTGATGGCAATTGTTGGTGTTCTCTTGGTCATCTTCTTGTTCAAGTTCTTTGAATATTCCATTCAAATGAGTAACAACTACTCCTCGCCGTCTGTTGTGTTGTATGGAAATAACGGAGGAAAACAAATCACATTTGATGATTATCGAGAGGCCTATAGATGGTTGGCACATAACACGCCAGAAGGAAGTCGAATTATGAGTTGGTGGGATTACGGATATCAAATTAGTCATTTAGGAAATAGAACAGTTATTGTCGATAATAACACGTGGAACAATACACACATTTCGTTGACTGGAAACGTGATGGCGTCGCGTGAAGAGGTGTCGATGAAGACTATTAGAGACTTAGATGTCGATTACTTGCTTGTAGTCTTTGGAGGATATTTGGGATACTCTTCTGATGATATCAATAAGTTCATGTGGATGATAAGAATTGGCGCAGGAGTTAATCCATCACTCGATGAGAATAATTATTTCAACAGAGGACAATATACTGTTGGAAATCCAACTGACACTTTCAAATATTCGATGATGTATAAAATGTGTTACCACAACTTCTACAAAGCTTCTAATGGGTACCGTTTGTTATTCAACTTAACATTTTCATATAAAGGTAAAATACTTAAAAATAGGACCCGGAATGGATAATGTAAGAAGAGAAATGATCACCGAGCAAACGCGTTTCAATAACATCGAAGAGGCATTTACATCAAAGCATTGGGTCGTTAGAATTTATAAAGTCTTGAAGCCTAATGCAGTCGACTCTTTACTCTAACAATTCCTTGACTTAGATTTCCGTTTTTAGTTTTTCTTCTTCGACATTGTTTCTATTAGTATATACTATAATTTATTAATAATACATACTAAACTTCATTTTTTAATGAATAGTAAATTAATAATAAATTAATAGTTTTTTTATCAATTAAATGTTTTCTGTTTTGTTGTTCTTCTTTTTCTTCGGTTTAACTGCAAAAGGCGAATGCCTTGTAGTGTTGATTGTTTGTTTAACAATACTTAAACTATAACAATGTAATTATATTAATGACATAAAAATCACTTTCAATATACTACAAAGCAAAACAGTCTTTTCGTTACAACACAGGCATCCATCCACACAGAAAATAAAAATTGTACCATCAAAAAATCAAAAAAAGAAACTGAATAAAACAAACGGAGATGGCTTCCTTTTTCAGTGAAAGTAATTTGGACCGTATGATCGAGAACTTGATGAATTTGACTCTCATCCCTGAAGACGCACTCCGAGCGTTGTGCGACAAGGCACGAGAGATTTTACTGAACGAACCTAATGTGATTAAGGTCGAATACCCAATCACTATATGCGGCGACTTACATGGGCAGTTCCACGACTTTAAAGAAGTTTTTAACATTGGAGGTCGCTTGCCAGACACAAACTATTTGTTCCTCGGAGACTTTGTCGATAGAGGGTTTCACTCTATTGAAACCGCTAGCCTTGTTGTTGCACTGAAAGTCCGATACCCACACAGAGTCTTTCTTTTGCGTGGAAACCACGAGTCACGACAGATCACACAGATCTATGGGTTTTATGACGAGTCGATCAAAAAATACGGAAGCTCCGACGCGTGGCAGATACTAACCAATTTGTTTGACTGCTTACCGCTCGCAGCAGTCATCGACCAACGTTACTTCTGTGTCCATGGTGGGTTATCTCCTTCTTTGAAAAAGATCGATCAGATCTCGATGCTCAATCGAGTCAGAGAAGTCCCACACGAAGGTCCGATGTGTGATTTATTGTGGTCCGATCCTGAAGAAAAGATTGGATGGGAAAAGAGTCCAAGAGGTGCCGGGTTCATATTTGGGAAAGATGCGTCTGACCAATTCAATCAAATTAATGGGACAGAAATTATCGTACGAGCACATCAAATGGTGATGGAAGGCTATCAATGGAATCATAACAAGACTTTAGTCACAGTGTTCTCCGCACCTAATTACTGCTATAAATGCAACAACTTAGCAGCTATTATGGAGTTGTCTGACACTGGAGAGTACTCATTGTTTGTTGTCAATTTTATACAATACTACATAACATCTATTTATTATAGATAATGTTACTTTTTATATTAATTATTATAGAAAAAATTCAGTACTTATCACATAGTTCTCAATTCTCACCCGCACCAGTACAGGACGACATGCAGAACACTAAGCACGTACCTTCGTTCCTTTTCGAATAAATATTTTATTTGTGACATTCTTTCATGTGGCTAGGGTTTTGATAGGGAGTATGATTTCCAAAATTCAAGGAAAATAAGGAAACCCCTTTTTGAAGTTCTGAAAAGAAGAAAAGTCTTGTTGAATTATAAATAAACTAGAATTATAGTATACTTCATTAATAGTAGTAAAACTACTATTAAATAACTATTAAAGTAAAACTTTTGTGAAGTGTTAATTAGAACTTGAAAAGTGAGATGTCCACACAAACAAACGAGGCGAATGTAGCGAAAAGACTTCAACGAGAGTACAACCACTTCTTTAAAAATGCACCAAATGATATTTCTATTCACTTGGTGGAGTCCTCGGTTTTTGAGTGTCACTTCAGTTTCAAAGGTTCGCCTGACACCGAATTTGCAGAGGGGATTTATCACGGAAAGTTCATCTTTCCGTACGACTATCCGAAAAACCCACCAGAGGTCTATTTTCTTACTGTTTGTTGATACGAAAGTATTGTTAATTGGTTGAAATACAATGAATGACATAATAGCCGAGTGGACGATTTGTTGTCAATCAGAAAATATGTCTGTCGATGACATCATTCCACCCAGAGACTTGGACACCAACATGGACTATTTCCTCAATGTTGGAAGCAATTCGAGCGTTCATGTCTACACCCGCTTCTGGTGCTGTTGGAGCTATTGACGCACCAATCGAAGTCAGAAAACAACACGCAAAAAACAGTTTAATGTTTGAGTGCCCTGTGTGTGGGGCTAAGCACTCTGAGCTCAAACTAATATACGCAGCTGCAAAAAAATGCGAAGATGACAAGAAAGGGGCGAAAGAAAAAGAAGAAAGTCCCAGTCAAGACGCCACTAAAGAACAAATGAAACAAGTTGAACTTAACACTCCAAGTTCTTTAGAAATTTCTCCGGCTATTTTCATTGACGAACCACTCAAAGAAAAAACACCAGAAACTCTCGAAGGTGCAAAAGTCGTCAGCCCACACGTAGAAACACAACAGAAAAGTGATCGAATTGAATTGGACACTGTTCCAAAACCAACTTCAAATACATTCAAACTAACTGATTCTATCAGTGGTGATTTCGGTAAAGAAATTTCAAATGAAAAAGAAGCCAATCTACACATCGAATCTCTTAAAGAAGAAACTCTAAACCTCTTGGAGGGTGTAAAGAAGGAAAACGACAAAACTCAAACTTTGGAAGCGACAATAAGTCCACGTCCCGTGTTTAAATCTCAAATTGACGACACTGTAAATGATGACCAAACAACGCCAAGGGAAAAGGAAGGAGACAGTGATTCGATAGAGAGTGAGGAGCATGACAGTTCTGAGCCAAAGGAAAGTGATGACTTTGAAGACCCAATGCTGTTGTTGAAGAAGAGACAAGAAGAGGAGCGCCTCAAGATGCAACGTATAATAGAAAACTCGGAAAAGGTTGAAACAGAGGAGAACGAAGACGAAAAGAAACAAATCGTCGATGAAACAGTCAACATCTTATTTGCACTCTCTGCATTCCTTATTGTTTTGGTCATATTGAATTACGTCAAAGTGCAGGTCATTGTAAATTTGATGAACTAATTTTTATTATATTTGGTTCTATATATATATAGTATAATATATAGTATAATATATAGTATAATATATAGTATAATATATAGTATAATATATAGTATAATATAATATACAAGGCAATATAATCATTCAATTAGTAATTCCTCTACCGCTTCGAGTTTTTAGAAGCAACATTGATTGTGACTTCATATTGCCCAACCATAAAAGTATGGTGTTTGAGTGCCTTGTTCATCGAAATGTCGTCTTTAAAATCAACGAAACAATGCCCTGGAAAAGTTCGCACCTTTAATACTGGACCAAATGAACTTTGGAATGCATCTTTGACGTCTTTAGCAGTCAAATTATCTCCAAACTTTCCTACAAAGACCGAGTAAGTAGAAGCTGGCACAGACGGAGGTAAATCCGAGTTATTTCGTGTTGTTTGAGACTCGGGAATATTAGCAAAAACAACTTTATAATCTTTCAATTCGACAGACTTGAGTAGACCAGACTCTTGGGCATACATGTCGTCCGATAATATCTCAACGACAACGGGTAAGTTGAGTACATGTGCAACAAAAAGATTCATTTTCTCGTTTGTGAAGATATTATATACCAGTGCCTCTAATTGTCAGCTCCCCGTCTCCCCTCTTATTTACCCTTAAAACAATTCTAACGCCAGTAAACCAAACAAATAAAAATGTAAATTGATAATTAAAAAACTATAAAACAAACGAGGGGGAAGTTTCGAGACAAACGCAACACGGCCGCTCCGTGTGTCTATTGCATAGATTTTGTTTCTGTCGCCAACTACAATATGTCTTTGATGTGACGTGATTACTGTTGGGTCGCCCAATGGAAGGTGAACGTCTTTGGATATTTTCTCGAGCTTACCTTGCAGCGCTCTCTGTCGGATCTCTTTGGGGTCTTTTTCGATGTTCTTTAAACAACACCCGGCAAGTGCAAAAAGTAATTCCCCAGAGTACGCGACACCCGCGATGCGGAAATTGAGGTCTTCATAGTGTAGTGTTAGTAAATCACTCGATAATATTATTACCTCTTTATTTGAAGCCACTGCAATTTCAGAGAATGTCGGATTTGTCACTAAATGAGCGGCGACAAATGAAATCTTTTTTGTGTTCGCGACTTGCTGTTGACCATTGAAGTATGTGTATTGTGTCAACGTGACTCTATCAATAGACAGTGTAACAAATGACAGCGGGCTTTTGTCACAGTCACTTGTAAAAACGAAGTTGTATGTGTTTGGAATGGAGTCTATTTCGAGAAGTCGGAAAGGGCGAAGTATTCGATAAACGTGCAGTGACATTCTGACGTCCAAAAAGAGGAGAAATTGTGCTTTAGCTGAAACAAGGATTTTGTAGCCAAGAGATGGAAGAGTTGTTCTGTAAACAATCCGTTTGGTTTGTGTGTTAAAAACGGAAAGGGTACCGATATCGTCAATCAAATACGATTCTGTACAATTGATGTCACAACACATGCTTTTCATCTTCCGAGGGACTTTTGTCATGACCAAGTGGCGGGGGAAGTCAGTTGTGTAGTCCATCAAGTTATGCACTTTTATAGTTCTTTTCTCTTTTCGTTCATTTGTAATGTAAATTACAATTTTTAATAAATAAGTATTATAAATCACAATTTGATAGTACTATACTTATATAATTTTTTAAATTATATAAAGTACAAAATAATATTATCTATATCTATAGTTTATTTATTATAATTCATATTCTTTTTTGACTTAAAAAAAAATAAAAGACTTACAAATCATGTTTCTTTGAGAATGCCAAATACTATAATTTAATAAAAAATTACCATGAATTTATGGTTTTTAATTAGTAATGAACTATACTAAATATTATAATATTAAAAAATAGATACAGTAAGACCTCGATTATTTCCAATTTTTTTATTTTAAAAACCTTGACACTTTCCAAATTGAAAATTTTGAGTTTTGTCATGAATTGTAATATTATATTAAAAATTTGTAATTTTAAATATTTTCGGCAAAAAACCAATTTATGTAAACCAAATTTAATTAAAATCTGTCAGATCATTGAAAAAACCGACAATTTTTGAAATCAAATATGTGTTATTTTTTGGCGATTTTTCAATTGATTGCAAAAAGTGAATTATTTGTGTAAGTTCACAAGTATTCGACAATTCTCCTGTTGTTATATTAACACTTTCTCCAAATGTAATTTTTTCATCATCCGATTCAATTATCTTTTCAAGGTTGATTGTTTTATCAATAACACCTTTATCTTTTAAATAATCAACAGAGTTTTGAAGCAATTGTTCACAATTATCTACAACTATTGGCGGAATGACGATTTCTTGTCTTGTTACAGGCAAATCAATCAAATTCGGATTATCACCAAAATTTGGTACAAACAATTTGCTTTTGATCCAACAATTAAAAATTGTCGAAGGAGATACATCTTTCCATGCATTTTCGATAAAAGGGAAACTATCAACTATCCCCATCTTGAAAATTCCTTTCAAAGTCTTCTCGTTTTTCTTACCTTCAATTTCAAGATTGTTGTATTTGTCCACTAAATCACGCAAAAGATGTTTGCAATAATATCTTTTAAATGTGTAAATGATTCCCTGATCCAATGGTTGATAAATTGATGTCACGTTTGGTGGTAAAAATAAAACAAATATATGTTCAAGTTGCATAACAGATTGTGTTGGTGTACCTTTGTTGATAAACAAATTGTGCGAACTGCAGTTATCAACTATTAACAAAATTTGTTTATCTGGAGTTTCGGAGTGAATCTTATTATCCCAAGTTCTCAAAAAATCCACAAACAACGAGGTTGTCATCCATGCGTTTTCATTGTTTTTGTAAACTATATTATATTGTTGCTGCAATTTTGAGTTATAATGTTGTGGTGTTTCAGAGCGTCCAATTATAAAAGGTGGCAATTTGACAGATCCAGTTATATTAGTTGTCAATAAAATAGAAAATCTAGTTTTATTATTTTTGATACTTATATTTTTTTGTTTTGCAAAAGAAGTTTTTCCCAGATCTTTAATTCTAATTGCGGTCTCATCTCCATTATAAACAGAATCAATACCAAACTTAACAACATAATAATCAACAAGCGTTTGAATAGTTTGAATATAATCTTTACAATTTTCCAAATCCACCAGTTTTGAACTTCCAAATGATTGTCTTAAACAAAGTCCGTTTCTTTTTTTAAAGTTGGATAACCATCCATTAGAAGTTTTGAAATTTTCTATTGTTTTAATAAGTTGTAGATCCGAATCAGTTTTGATGGTTTTATTAATAAGTGTTTTCAGATGATTTTGTAAATTACCTTGAAACATACATTTTATAGTATCTTCCTTTATTGGTATATTGTCTTCAAGTAAGTTATTTAATGATTTCATTGTTTCTAATTCAATTGTAGGCAAAGAAGAAGATTTTGTTTTTCTTTTATCGTCACTTTCTTTCATTTTATAGAAATAACTGATGCTTGGGACTTTTTCAAGGTTAAAAGTTAGTTGTGTCCATTCTTGAAGCTTAACTCCTGTTAATTCACTTCTTTTTTCTTGAATTAGCATTTTATCTTCTTTGGATAAATCCGAGAGCCTTTTGCCTTTTGAGCCTTTTCTTTTCATTGAAATTCTTTTTTAAAGTTGGTTTTTTATAGTCTGTTTGTAAAACGAAAACGCCGAATATTTAAAGTTGGATTTATTTAAACTTTATTGTAAAAATCACCAACTTTAGATTACCTTGCATTTTTCCAAAAAACTTAAACAACCAATCAAATCTTTGAAATTATCGAGGTTTGGAAAAATTCGAGGTTTGGAAATAATCGAGGTCTTACTGTATTGTAAATTAATTTTTTTGTTGTTTAAATATATCGTTTTTAGAATTTAAACTTTTATGTTAAATAATATGTTAAATAACCACCAAGAATTCAATTATTTATTTCCAATTTAGTTTGTTATTGGATTACATGGCTCGGAGCAGTCTTCTTCTTCAACCATCTCTTCGCCTTGTTAAATAATATGTTAAATAACAATATAGCAATAAATTATTGAAAGAATAATTATTTATATTACTTATAAACAATTATATAAAGAAATAAATAAATTAAAATTTATTGAAATAAAATATAGTTTGTCCTTAAAAGTTATCCAGTCTATTAACTATATCTGGTATTTTTATACCATAATAATTGTATATTTCTGAAAGCCATCCCAAAAATTTATCCCAATTGTTCTGGTTTTTTTTTCACGTTATACCTAATAACCGTTGTTTAGACAAAATCAAAGCTATTATTGTCCACTAGATAACGTTAAAAGACTGACTTCATATAAAAAAATGAAATATTACCTTTATACCGAGTTAAATAAAGTTTCAAAAGTTTCTAATAAGATATTATTACACATTATTATATTGTTGTAAGAGAGTGATTATAAAAGATTGAAAAGTTAATATGAAAATAGTGTATAATTAGTTAGTTAACACTTGTTGTTTGATACAGTGAATGTATTAGAAACTACAATTTAAAACGTTGTTTCAGTTTGATTAACATTTCAATTGTTACCCAATCACCATTCTGAGCAATATTTACGCTGTATTTATCGTCAAAAGACCCACGTAATAACTTTACACATGTTTTAAACAAGAAAAAATATTAGAATATTGTTAATAAATTAAAAAATATCAAGTATTTAAACTAACTCGATTTGTAAATATTGAAAGAATTTCAAAGAAAACAAAATATCGAATAAATGATTATCTAAACATCTTCCTAATACATGTAATAATGAAAACAAAAATTATACCATCTTCAATATTTTTGTGAAATCGCCATAAATAGATAATTTTTGTTTTTTGTTTTGTATTGTTAAAAGGATTTCAACTGCTTTGGTATTTCTTTAAATGGATTTAAAACAGATTAAAACAAAAAAAGTAGTTGGAATAAACAAACATATGAATAAGTTATTAATAACATATTCAAATTGATTAAAATTGATACTTAAATAACTTGGAGGTTATTTATCATACGTTGTTTTTTAAAGAATCTTCAACAAGAAGTTATTGTGAATCATTGAAAAGTTTTTTTGAATATATATTCATATTAATTGTCCAAAATCACGTTTTTGGATATTTCACTTTAATTTCAAAGACAATATTACAATTTATTGTGACATTTGTGAATTGCTATTCAATCAGAATAATTAAAATTTGAATTTTTTAAACTATTTTATTGGTTATATCATAAAATTATATTCAAACAAATGATTAAATAACAATTATATGTAATTGTTTACATATATCAAAAGGAATCGATAATTTTTTCGATAGATGTGGATTGTGTGTTTCATCTTCAAACTTCGAATTATAACAATATTTCTTGTAAATACGAACAGAACGAAGAATTTAATGGTACAATTTAACATAATTTTTAAAACCTTTATATCATTGAATAACTTCTATTTAACTTAATCTTTATAAAAACAATTTTTGTAAATATTTCGGCACATTTGTTTTGAATGAGAAAAAGTTTGAATATCTTTAAGTAAAAATTATCCAAATGGTAAATAAATTGAAACAATTTATTCTTATTAAGAACTTTTTCTGAAGTAATACTGATTGTAAAAAAATGTTTAACAGACGGTGTTAAAAAAGCCAATTATGCGAAATAAGTACCTGTTTTGTACCCTTGTGTCATTTTATTAATAAATAGACCTTTTAATTTTTAAGCTATTGATTTAAATATTGTTTGTCTCAAAAATGTTTAATTATAATCAATCCACTATTATTCATTAAAATATAATTATTTTATCGGTTTTTTTTAATAAAATCATTTTTTTCATTTTAATTCAATTAAAAACAAACATTTGAGATTAAATCAATGCGTTTCTTTTTCAAATCATATTTCTAAATTTTAAAATAACTTTCAAATCAGACTTATTTCTCGACTATTTTTAGTTGTCCAGTAACTTATTGTTCTTCCCAAAAATACACCATTTAACAAAATCAATGTTTATTAACATTGATTTCTAACTTTTATGTACTTTTGGGAAAACATTGTTTAAGATCCCCTTTTCAAATTCAGTTTTCTTGTTGAATTTATAATATATTTATGATATTTTGTATTATAATTTATATAATTCTTTTTCTTCGAAAGACTTCGTGCTTACTCTCCACATTTTTCTCAAACCAACTTTGCTCTGTTGAATCGAACCAAGTATACAAAATTTTTGCGCAGTTTATTAGTAAAAATAATGGAAAAATGGTGTTATTGAGAAATAAAAAAGATAATTGTTAAACTCAGTCCCAAAATGGATGAAGTGTGTTTCGAGTTCTGATTTGAACGAATTTTTAAAAACGGAATTCTTCGACCAAACCTCAAATGGGATAAAAATACAATTGCTAATGTGGTCTATAAAACGACGGTTTTGAACTTTGTATATCAAATGTCTTCTTTTGAGAGTAACACAGTCACAAGCAATACATCAACATCCATGTCTTCTCCACGGCGAAAGAGGTATGATGACCCTAAGTATTTAATTCAGAAGAAGTTCGTCAAAGACTTGGAAACGTACCAAGTTGCCGTTCTCTTAGGGTTACTCAATAAAGTCTGTTCATTTACTCTCTTCAAACCCAAGAAAGAGTCTGTTGTTGGCATATGTTCTGCAAAGTTGAAGTCGATCAACTTCAATGGGGATGAAATAGATATCATTCAATTAGCAGAGAACATGTACAGACCAATTTACGATAGAGAAGTCAAAAAGGGTGTCGCAAAGCCAACTGCATTTAGAAGATATGAAAAGAACAAGAGAGTCTTTGTCCATAACTTGCTCTTTGACTTGGCGCTTGAGCATGGCTTTTTCTTTAACTCAAAGTTGTCAAGAAAATCAACTAAGACGCACTCCATTGAGCGAATCGAAAAGGTATTCTTCAACGGAAAGATGATCCTCGATTTACAACACATCGCTGTGTTTGGGAGCATCCTTAACGACTATTTCTATAACATCGTCAAAAATGACAATTGTGTTATTGTCGCTCCACATGACGAGTCTCTGTCGAACATATTGGTCTAATATAAAGACTCTGTATTGATTATCTTATTATTGTAAAACATTTTTAGGTTGTTTATAGTTTTTATGTTGCTTTTGTTATATAATATAGTATATAAAACCAATTTATAACTAAAATAGTTTTTAATTATAAAAAAAATAATTACTGGAAACTATAATATAATTTAATAACAATTTTATTACAATATATAATTTAACTTTAGTATTCGATCAAATTTTTGAAACAATTTTTTCTGTTAGCAATACAACCAATCAGTATTTTTGAATTAATTATTTAGTTTACATAGAAATTTATTACTCTAATTCATTATTTTTCCCAAAAAGGAAACATAGAATGACGAATTTTTTTGGAATTGAAAATAAAAGCCAAGAAAAAACACTAAAAAAACGGGGTGAAAAATTTTTCAAAAGATCTTCAAAAGTGACCCAAAACCATTATGGTAAAACCAGAGAAAAATACTTTTGATATTCCTGTAGTTTATTGATAATAATTGTCTTTAAGAACAAGTAAAAAGTGATACAAAAATAGTATAATTAACATGAATTAATAAAGGAAGTAAACTAATAAAGAACAGACGACAAACTATATGTCACAACAAACCTTTAATAAGGATCATTTAAGCAAGAAAGACGGCAATTTGTACATCACTTGTAAAGAGTCGGGATGGAACAAAGACTGTGTTCTGACCAAAGAATACTTTAGCACAAATACAGCATACACTTTACTCAAAAACAGAGTTGAAAAGTACCCCAACGAAAACCTTTTTGGTTACCGAACTAAGACCGATGGCAAGTGGAGTGACTACAACTGGATATCCAGTGTTGTTGGGTTGGAGCTGGTCGATGCATTGGGGAGCGCATTAGTGACCAAACTGAACATTAAAAAGGGTGAGAAGTGTGGTATCATGACGCACAACAGGTATGAGTGGTTTATTGCTCAACATGCTATGCAGAGACAAGGGATTGTCCCAATCTTTCTATACCCAACACTGGGCTTAGAGTCCTTGGACTATATAGTGAAGTTGTTAAACTTAAAGTACCTGTTTTGTGGCACGCCTGCAAAGACTGGCGTTGAAATTATAGGACTCAATGAAAAACTTGGGTTGATCACATTTGATGATACCGATGATATCCCACAAACCATTAAACACTATAACTACTCCGAGTTACTCAATTATGGTCGAGAAAATCCCGTTGAGCCCGATTTGCCAACACCAGACGACATCTTTACAATCGTATTCACTTCGGGTACAAGCGGAACACCAAAAGGTGTGGTACACACATTCAAATCAGTTGGAAACGCAGTGTACAGTTTCACCACTGCTAACTGCTTTGATCCAGTCAATTGCATGCTTTCGAAAATCAACTACTGTTACCTCCCATCTGTTTGTTAGTATTCATTTTCTGATAACAAATTTGACACGATAGGCTCATGTATTCGACAATGAAATTGTTCTCTCCTTTGTGTACGGATATGGTTCGGTTGGATTTAACTCTGCTGGAGTGACTTCTGTTGTCGACGACTTACAAAAACTCCACCCAACATTTTTGATTGCAGTTCCAAGAGTACTTCAAAAGATCTATGACAAGTTTGTCGAGACTGTCTCTGCGTCATGTATCGCAAACACTTTATTCCACGTAGCTTACCACTACAAGAAGAATGCAGTGTACAACAAATCATACACTTTAATCAACTGGGACACGTTACTCTTCAATAAAGTAAAGGCGATGTTTGGTGGTAAATTGGAGATCATATTGAATGGGAGCGCACCATTAACATCAGAACTGTACGACTGGCTTCGTATATGCACCGGCGCACAGATTTTCCAAGGCTACGGTTTGACAGAGTCTTTTGGTGGATTCTGTACAGCAGCCCCTGGCCTTCACGACGATAATCAAACATCAGTTGGATCACCATGTTTATATGTGACAATGAGACTTGTGAGTATTCCAGACATGGAGTACTCTGTCGACTCTGAGATGCCTGCAGGTGAAATTCAGGTGAAAGCCGACCAAATTTTTAAAGAATATTATAACGACGAGACACAGACAAAATCAGTCTTTACCGAAGATGGCTATTTCTGCACAGGAGATATCGGAAGAATCAATGCAGATGGTTCACTCTCAATTGTCGACAGAAAGAAGAACTTATTCAAACTGGCACAAGGAGAGTATGTTGCTGTCGAACCACTTGAATACACATATGGGCTCTCTCATTACGTCTCACAATGTTTTATCTACGGAGAAAGCACAGACACATTCATCACCGCCATCGTTGTTCCTGAAATCAAGGACTTCGCCGAATTCATTAAGACTAAGTTCAACTTTGAAGGTACTAAAGAAGAACTCCAAGAGTTTGCAAATACCTCCGCACCAAGAGAAATGTTCAGACAAGAGCTTGAGAAGCACGCCAGAAGTAAAGGTGTTCCTGGGTATGAGGTCGTAAGAAACATTTATGTTGAGATGACTCCGTTCTCCGAAGAAAACAAAATGCTCACTCCCTCTTTCAAACTTAGAAGACCACAAATCAAAAAGGCATATAGCGAAATACTCAAGAAGATTAGAAACGAAGTGCTTTAACTGATTGATCCAAGTGCCGTTGTGTTGCCAAATTTCAAACATTATTATTACACAAAATAAAGAAACCCTTATAAAACCCCAATTTTTAAAAACGCACAAAAAAGAAATTTAAAGTTTGAAAAAACAAACCATCGAAAGACAAACCAGATCATCGAAATTATTTAGAAAAAAACGAACTATACGAAATTAGCATTTAACTATAAAAGAGTTAAAAAAACCCTACATTATAAAAAGGGTACATGCACTCTGGAATTTATCACCATAATGTCTACTAAAGTAAACGCGAAAAAGGGAGTCTCGAAGAAACAGGAAGTTGTAGCCAAGGAGGTTACTAAGAAAGAAGTTACCAAGAAGGAAGTTCCAAAGAAAGAAGAACCAGTCAAAAAAGAGGAAGTTCCAAAGAAGGAGGTTGCCAAGAAGGAAGCACCAAAGAAGGAAACAAAACCAGTTGAGCACACCAAGAAGGACGTCCACGCTAAGAAAGATACCAAAGACACTAAGAAAGACGCCAAGAAGGGAGAAAAGAAAGAAGAAGAACAAAAAGAACAAAAGAAAGAGAAAGTCTTCATCACAGCCACCGTCTATGCTATTTCAGACAGAAACGGTATTCTTATCCAAGGACAGAAAAAAGAAGGCGAGAGCAACATCCTCTCACTTGCTTACGTCGATGTCCCAAGATTGTCAAAGGACAAAGAGACTGGAAAGGTTCAAGAAGAAATCTTCTTCTACGAAGCTAATCAAGTCTTGAGAAAGAGATTGATTGGAAAGACTGTCAAATTCGAGGTAGTCAAAGAGATGGACAATGGAATCAGACTCGTTGTCCCAATTCTTGGAAAAGAGAACATCATCATCACGTTACTCGAGAACGGATATGCCAGCTTGAGACTTAGCCCAAGAGACCCAAGAAGAGATGAACTCAAGGAGTACTATGACGCCGCTGAGAAGGCAAAGAACGCACAAAAGGGAATGCACGCTTCATACGAACAACAAGTAAAGGTTGCCATCAAGAAGCCAGAAACCCCATTCTTCACTGAATTTGAACTCAGCAAGATGGCTGGAAAGTCTGTTGAAGGTTACGTCAAGAAGGTTGATGCCCCAGCTTCTTATATCATTGAAACCCCACAGAGAAAGCTCATCAGAGTCTCATTGTACGGTGTCGACCAAATGCTCAAATTTAACCCAGCTAACAAGAGATTTGTCTTGGACGAAGACGCAAAGGACGCTTTGAATTTCATTGACAACACTTTCTTGGACAGAGACTGCACTGTTGCCATCAAGTCAGTTGAGAAGAGATTACACGCTATTATCACCGTCGACAAGAAGGACATTGCTGAAGAGTTGTTGAAGGCCGGTTTTGTCGTTTGCGCTAAGCTCGAAGATGCATCTGAAGAGATCAAACAGAAGTACGAAGCTGCTGAGAAGGTTGCCAAGAAGGGGAAGAAGGCCAGATGGACCAACTTTGATCAAGCTCTTGAAGACGCCATTGTTGCCAAGAGATTACAAAGAATCCAAGACTTGGCTGACAGAAAGAAGAACGCCGTTGTTCTTTCTGGGTACGAGATCGAGTCGATTGGAAAGTTCTTAGTCGTCAGAAAGGGCGAACAGACTGCCAAAGTCTTCTTAGCCTCACTCAGAATCAACACCAAAAAGGATGACAAGGAGTTCAACCAACTCTTGGAGTTCAGAATTAGAATGCTCCTCAGAAAGCTTTTTGCTGGAAAGAAATTGGAGTGCAAGCAATGCTACGAGAGAGAATTCGAAGAAGAAGAAGGCAAGAAAGTCACTGACAAGTACTATGATGTCTACGTCAACAAGCAGAACATTGCTATTCAATTGATTAAGGAAGGATTCTACACAGTCGACAAGAAGTCAAAGGACGAATTCTACCAATCATTCGACTACAAGGAACTTTTGGAAGTTAAGGAGGGTGTCTACACACCAAAGGCTGTTACTGAGTACAAGGCCGACAAGGACAACATCAAGGATGTCTACATCAACACATCAGTCACCGCTATGGTCGAGAGAGTTCTTTCCGTCTCCAAATACCTTATCTATATCCCAGAGAAGGACGCAAGAATGGCTGTCTTGCTTGCCAACTGCAGACTCCCAAGAGACGACGAGAATGAAGCCCTCAAGAAGTTCAACCAAGAGTCCATTTCAGAAGTCAGAAAGTTGGTTGGAACCAACGAAGTCACCGTCGACTTCAGAAACTTCAACAAAGGAAACTTCCTCGTTGATATCACCGTTAAGAAGACATCATTGGTCCACTATGTCTTGGACAACGCATTTGCCCAATTTGCTGGAAAGGAAAACACTTCTGAGAAGAATGAGGCTGCTAAAGAGAACTCTACTGGTATCTACCAATTCAAATCTGCTGAGAGAAAGACCGAAGAAGTCGCTAAGCCAGTTGAGAAGAAGGAATTCAAGAAGCACGACGAGATCAGATTTGGTGCTGAGCAAAAAGTCTATTTGACTGGATTTGATGGATCTAAGGTGTACTACTACAACTCCGTTGAAGACACAAAGTTCATTGAAGACATGTCAAAGAAGTTTGCTGTCATCAAGAAGGCTGCTTTTGAGCTTAAAGTTGGTGAAATGGTTGCCGTTGAATACAAAGGAAAGTGGTACAGAGCCAATGTTGTCGTTGTTGCTCCAAAAGCCAACATTCTCAAGTGTGTTGATACTGGTGTCTTTGTCACTGTTGGCAAGAAGAAGACCAAGATGATTGGCGAAGAAGAAAAGAAGGCTCCAATCAACGTCAAGTCTATTGGCCTTGTTGCCATTGACTGCCTTATCAAGGGAAAGAACGTCGAGTTTGACATGATGGTGAACACCGTCCTTGAGTTCTGCAACAAGGAAGCGTCAATTTACATCTCAGGAAAGGCCGAGACTGAAGCCGCCAAGGTGGTTGTTGGCAATGTCTGCATCAACACCATTTTGGTTCAGAACGGTCTTGCCACGTTGTCCAGATTCTTCAAGGACAACACCGAGTGGGGAACAGCACTCACTTATGCCCAGGCTGCTGCCAAGGAAGGACACATGAACGTCTGGAGATATGGTGAGATCTTCGACGAGAATGAGGGTAAAGAGTTTGACAGAAAGGACGGTTCAAAGGATGCTAAAGGAAAGAAGCCAAAATCTGCTCCAAAAGAGCACAAGGCTGAAACAGAAAAGAAGAACTAAACACAACTAATTCGAGACTTCCTTTGGTGAACATTTCGTTATTTTATATAGAATATAAGTAAGATTTGACTAGTTAACCTTAGGATTGCGGATGAATAACAAAACTAAAACAAAATACCAAAAATCTCAGAATGGCACCCTTGTTATTTTTATTACATTTCCTAAATTCGAAAAAATAAAAAAAAACAAAAATCATATCATTGAATTAATAATGTCGACGCATCATTTGAAATATAAACAAGTTTGAATTGCATATCAGAACAATACAAATCAATTTTTGATATCGTAAAGTCTCAATTTACGAGAATTTGTTAACAGTGAATCACACTTGATTTTTTAAATTTTTTTTGTTTTTTTTTCATATTTTTCATATGGTTTAAAAATAAGTGTTATTTTAATTACTCTACCGACATTGTAAGGTTAAAATATTTTACTAATATAGTTGGGGGATAAATAGCATTAAAAAGGGACAAAGGTAGTTAATTTTGATAAATATAATTTTGAAACTATAATTTTTAAAAAAGCTATTTAAAGGTCAAAATAAACATAAAATTAAAATAATAATATAAATTATCGTTTTTTATTTTAAATGATTATAAATTGAATAATTATAAACTTCTATTTCAAAAATAAACAAAAACACCTCAATTTGTTCACTTAAAAAATGTGGAAGTCTAAAGCGCAGCACTTTTTATGGTTTGTCTGAAACTTGTTTTGTTAAAGAATTTTTCCTTTGTTTTTTCCTTTGTTTCATTTCTTTTCTGCTCTTTTTCAACTCCAATTGTTTTTATGTTAAAATGGTCTTTCTCTTATCTTTTCTCAATGGGAATGGTTCAACAACGAAAGATTGAAAGACTGAAATAACAAATGATGATTTTTCAGTGATTCCCTGACACTTTCAAAAATTGACACTGTTGTTAATTCATTAAACTCTGGCATTTTAACCATATACATCGTGAATATATATTGAAATACAGTTTTTAAACTGGTTTCTTGTATTTGAATTGCTTTTTTATGTTGATTGCTTGTGGTTGTTTCATCAAGGGTTCTTTTCTCTTCTTCTTCCTTTGTTTTCAAAGAATGAATAATATCAAAAATAGAAAGTTATGGTTTTCTTTTATTATCTTCAAAGTAGTTAATTGAAAAACCCCTTCTAATACTTTTATGGTTAAATAAATTATATTTTATAGTTTTTTACTCAAATTAACTACTTCTGTCCCAAATTAACCCCCTTTATCACCCGACTATATTAATTAATTATAAATGGTAACATTAATTGTTTTCTTTTAAAATTATTATCAAATTATTATTAAATTATTATTAAATTATTAAAACACAAAACCTCAAATTAAATGAAAAAGTTATTTGTCTATAACAAGTGAAACATAGTCGAGTACTTTTGATGCGTCTTGACTATTCTCTCCCATCTTGAACATACCTTCACTCAACATATCTTGATAAATAGCTCGACTTTGCAATACAAAAGCAGCACATCCAACCCAATTGTTCAAGTCAATGACTTGGTTATACGAAAAGGTCTTGAACAGAATTGCAGTGGTGCAGTTATTTGGGTTGAACCCCATTGCGACGAGTCGTTGTTTAAGTGTTTCTGGGCCATTCCCTGGGTTTGTGTTGAACACAACAAAACATATCTCCAAAAATCTGTAAAGTCCTATGAACTCATACAACCCCAAATGTCCTGTCCTTTGTGTATCGAATATTCTCATGAACCTCAAAGCAGTTTGTGGTGACACTCTGATGTTACCCGGATATGTCGCTTTCCCCAACTCGTCAATCTCGAGTGTCCCACTTCTGTCTTGGTCCACCAAATTGAACCATGAAAAGATCTTATTGTATTGTTCCAATTTTATTGACTTAATGAGGGGGTAATACCATTTCTGTAACAGTTGTGGAGATGGTTGTATCATTGGCTTTTGTGGGGACACTTCCCATGCAGGAATTTGGGGTGGGTTTAATTGGAACAAATTGACTTGTTCCATCGGTTGTTGTTGTGGTTGCATTTGGTACTGTTGTGGTTGTTGTTGAGGTTGTTGATATTGTTGTGGTCTTGCATAAGTGCTCTGAGACATTGGTTGTTGTTGTGGTTGTTGCATTTGTGGTGCTGCGTATGTCGACTGTTGCATTTGTGGAGGAGCGGTATAAGTCGATTGAGTCATTTGTGGTTGGCCATAAGGGGTATAAGTGCTTCCTGGTGGGTTAAGAGTAGTTGATTGGGGTACGCCTTGAGGTCCACCTGGTGGCCCAAAGCATTGTGGCTTTGGTTGTTGTTGCTGTTGCAAATAAGGATTCATTGGTTGTTGCATTTGAGTATAAGGATTTGGATATCCTCCATAGCCTTGTTGATATGGGTACATGTCTCTTTGTTTTCTAGTTCCATAGTTTTTCATTTTAAGGAGACATCTACTATCTTATTTGATTATAATTAAACATACAATTTTATTAGAATTTGTTCAAAATCCAAAATTGACCAATCTGGGAAATGATGAAGTTTATATTTCGGGTTGGTTTACGTCAAAAATACATAAATAATAATAACTATTACTATTATATATATAATAATAATAATTATAATTTAATCACACAAAGGAATTTAGAATTGTGGGTTGAAAATGTTATATATAACATTATATTTGTAAAAGAAAAAAATGATGTCTAAACTATTAATTTTAATATCTTATCCTTTAATAAGATAAAATATTAATCATTTTATTATAATTTGATAATTCGATTTAATATAATGATAATTAACTAATAAACAACTAGAAAACAATTTATAGTATAATTTAATTAATATAATAATAACTGATAATACTTTTAAAAGTCTTATTTTTAATAATAAAAATGAACCATTGAATTAATTAACTTGTGCCTTCAAGAGTGGGAATCGCTTTAAAGCGTCCTTATTGAACTTTGCATTGTACGAATCCACAAAAAGTCTTTTTAGTGTTGTTGCAACCTTATTCAAATTAAATGTTGTTCTAAAAATGACGAGATCTGTAATGTTCACCTTGTCGATATTTGGTAATAAGTAATTGATACACACAGACAAGACTAATGTGTGTAAATTGATTGGAAGAATTACAATTGAGTCGGTGATAGATAATTCTAAGCTATAGAGATGAGTGTATTTTGTCAAGTCAAGATTGACCTTTTCTTTAGACGTAAGAGTCAATTTAGTGATTGAATTTGGTAACATGAAATCGTTTAATACCACCGACAATTCCAATGTCGCTCTTTCCAAATTAGTATAACAAGAAAAGTTGCACGCTGAAATAGCAATTTGAGAAAAATTGATTTCTCTAAGTGAACAATTCTTGATACTCTGTAGAGTTCCATTTGTAGTGAAAGAAGTGACCGACTCTGGTAGTATAACCTCTTCATTAATATTCATCACTTGAAGGTTTTTCAAAGTGTTAAAATATTTCAAATTATCCACACAAGGATCAACTTTAACTTTATGCTCATTGGGGGCGTTGTGGTAATACCATCTTGGTTGTTTTGGTTTCATAAGAGACAGCGAAGTCACTGATTGACTCACCTCTTTGGGAATCCACTCCAATGTGTCTGTGTAAAGTTCTTGTAGTTTAATATCAGTACTAAAAATAATTTTTTCTATATTTTGAAGTTTGAGGAATTTGACTGTTTTTGGAACTTTAATGGTATTTGACTTTACTATTGTGAGCCCACTTAAAGAGCTAAGCCTTTCTATATTGACCACTTTACATGTGTCTATAATCAATTCGTTCAACAAGACTGGCAATTTCAAACAATCAACTTCACATGTTGTGCACTCGATTTTGTGTAAATCGAACTGCTTCAAATCAAATGTTAATTGGTTCGTGACAGTTAAAGAGGGTATCAATCTGTTTTTGATAAGCACATTCTGGTCTTTGGAATCCACAAAGTTCCACTTCGCGTTACCTACAACAATAACCCTATCATCAAGTCCTTCAAACCATTCACCAAAACACACAGTTGTTCTTCCCAATTTGCTTAAGTGTTCTAAAACAGTTTGGACGTCTTTTTGTTTTGTGGGCTGAACAACAACTCTCTCTATTTTCAGTTTGTCTACGTTATCAAGAAACTCAGTATCAACAAAGTCTTCCATTTTGACTTTCACAAGTGTCATCTTATGGTTCACATTTTTAAAAAACTTGAGTAAATACCCTTCACTGTTTTCTCGCTTTGTGAACGTCCGAATTTCAATTTGTTTCAACGAGGGATACTGGCCCAAATCGATCACATTGTCATATGTAAAGATCTTCATTGAGACAATTTTATTTTTGATTTTTTCCAGACAAGGGAGTTGATCGTCATCGATAGTGTCCTCTATGTATATTCTTTCAATAGTCTGAGGAACGTACTCCATAATGAAAGGTGTAAAAAACCTTATTTTGACGGTTTCTAAGTTTGGGAAGAGTTCAAGTTCGTGTTGAAATATATTAGCCTTGACGCTGTCGTTCTCTGACTTCTTTTTGATCCCTTCAGAAGCCAATCCGGGGTTAATCCGCAACATTTCAATTGCTGTTTTACACTTTTTGTTAACAAATGAGATGTTTTGGACAGTCTCTAATGTGTCTACAAACATTACCACATTTGCTAAGAAGATGCTCTCGAGTCGAACCATGTTATTTGAATAACGTAATTAAAGATGGTTTAATATAAATTATTTATAGTAATATTATAATAAATTTATAATAATTTATAGAAAAACATATTTGACTTGTTTTCAAAACACCAAAAGATTGAGGAATCAAAGAAAAAATAGATGAATAATTATAATTAAAAATAATGATTCAAATTATACTTAATTAATTGAGTTTAATTTTAAAACAATAGTATTATATTATATGAAACTAATTAACATTAGTAGTAGTAAATTAGTTTAATTTATAATTTATAATAATAGAAATATATTAAAAAAAATATAAAAAAAATGTGCAATAAATTACAGATAACATACTATATTTCCTTCTTTAAGAATAAAAGTAGTATATGGGTTCAGCTTGTTGGAAGTTATATTGATAGTCTTGATATGTTTGTGGTGGCATTTGGTAATAAGGTGTACTTTCTTGGTAGACAATTTGAGGCACATTGCATTGTGATCCCACAGACGAGTAACTGATCATATCTGCTTCATTTTCATTATTTGCCAAACAATTAACAGACGCTGAAGATATTGCTGGAATGTCTGGGATATTCAAAGCGTTCACATTATCAAATGTGACTTGAGTCGACTGTTCTCTTCCAAATGAGTCTGAAATCAATTTTTCAAACATGGCCCCAATGCCAGTAAGTTTGTTCATATCCAAAATGACACCAAGTGGTGTTTTGAGGACTGTTATTTTGACAAACCTCTCTGTCAATTTAGCCTTTTTTGTCTGTTTAATTGTGAAGTCGTATCCTAGTGATTTGATCAAATAAAGTAAACCATTATTGAACTGGGCTTCTTTGGATCTGTTGTACTGCTTATCGTTCATCTTTGTGATATCTAATGGTTCTTCTCCAAGAATCTCCTTGACAAAGTTCTGGTTCAACGATGCTATTTTAGCCTGGTCATAAGACTCACCGTTCAAAATAAGAGACTCTGGAACAGTCATCTTAATCGTGTTCTTAGTCTTCTTGGACTTCCTGAAAGTTGCCACTGCGCCAAACTGTCTGATCAAGATACATATAATAGTGTTGATAACAGCACTCTCCGCATTTCTGGAAACTGTTTTACGTTCTCTGAGTAAAGCTGCGTCTACTGCTTTTGATGCTCTTTGTTGCATTGCACCTTGTGATTATTCGTGTTGGTATTTATAGGGCTGGGCAGCTAATTTTGGAATGAACTAGTTCTAGATAGATCTCAGTTCTCATCCGAAAATAGACACATTTTCGAAGTTTTTGTAACAAAAAATCAACAAGATCTGTCAAGAAAAAGACTTAGTTTTTGGCAAAAGTTGCCGAACGTAATTGTGTTGAAAAGATCAGTATTTATTGCCAGCTAAAGATAGATTCTTCATTGTTAACAGTTCCAGTTCTGATTTGTGACTAAAAAATATTCTGAGATATTTAATAGTTTGACTAATATATTTCAACTATACTTTGTAATAAAAATGAATTCAGAAAAAATAGTTAAGAACTAAAAATGTCAAAGTAAATTTGGATATTTAGTTGATTAATCTTAAAATAACAAAAAAAAGTGATAAAATATAAAGATGTATAAAGTGTACAATAATTTACTTTGTAAAAGATGAAATAAAATTTTTCTACTATAAAAAGTTTTGAATGAAAAAAAACTTTGAAAAACAAAAGAATGTGGTTTATTGAACGACTAACATTATAATTTGTGTAGCAATTTATTTGTGTTTGATGAAATAAAAAGTGAAAGACTGAATTAGCACTGATCAAGCTCTTTTTTGATGAATTTCGTATTTACATAATTCTTGTCCAAGTCCAAACTCCAAATCATAGCACCTCCAAGCTTGTGATCACACACGTACTGTACTTTGTGTTCAAAAGTGTCTTTATCATCGAATGAGAACCACTGATCTCCACTGTACCCAAACATAGTCATTGATTTGGCATCGTACTGGATATTTGCAGCTGGAATAAGTGAGTCGATTTCGTATTTTGATAAGTAGCCATTCTCGCCTGTGCATTTTCCAGATGTGCTCGCTCCTGACGCTGGTGAGCCCATATCGTGTTTGTTGGCTGATTTCAAAGTCCACCCTCTTCCATAGTGCGCCATTCCAACAAACATCTTCGCTGGTGGAACTCCCTGAGACAAATATGCTTTAACAGCATCATCAACGCTCAAAGCGTCATCTGCGTAAAGTGCAGTATGTGAACCAGTGACATCGTCCCAAGAACCATGCAGATCGTACGTCATCAAATTGATCCAGTCGAGGTATTTGTGGAATTTCGATATTTCCAAATTTTCGATATTCTTTGGACCAGCCGGTGCTGCAATTGTCAACAGCAATCTGCTTCTACCCCCACTCAATTTCTCTGCATCAATCGCCTCCCTAAACTCCTTGAGTAGCAAAGTAAATGACTGCACATCAACAGGTCTTCCACCTTGGTCTTTGTTTGCAGGGTATTCCCAGTCTATGTCAATTCCGTCGAGATTGTACTTACGCGCAAAGCTCATTGCACTCTTTATAAAAGCCGCTCGTGAAGTCTGCTTCTCTGCCATCTCACTGAACAAGTGTTTTGTCGAGTCGTAGAAGTTGAAATTCCACCCTCCGATTGAAGCCAAAACTTGCAGATTTGGGTTTTTAGATTTCATCGCAACAATCTTTGGAATCATTTGGTCATCATTCCATTCGTATTCCTTCACGGTGTAAGATGAGTCAAAAACAACAAATGCGTAGTTGATCACGTCAACAAGTGTGGGATCAATATTGTCTGGTGTGTACTTACAGGCCCACCCATCAATCGAGTTTTGTCTGTACTGTGCCCAGTTGGTGTAATACGAGACAACCTTCTTTGGCCCACTTTCCTCCTCTGAGCTTTCCTCTGGTTTTGGCTTCTCTTCAGAAGACTCCTCTGGTTTGGGTTGTTCAGAAGACTCTTCGGGTTTTGGCTTTTCCTCCGACGAAGACTCTGCTGGTGGCTCTGGTTTCACTTCTGATGAATCTTCTGGTTCTGGTGGTTCTGAAGACTCTGGGAGTGGTTCCTCAGACGACTTATCGAAATAATCGCCAGGTTTTAGTGAGCAGTCTGGCAGATCTGTCCAACTCCATACACATGGGGTGTAAGCTGTCTTCCCACACTTGCACACCAACCCAGAAGAGCACTTTGTGATCTGTCCTTGTGTGTGTCCGTAGCACCAGAGATAAGATGTGTCATCGATACAGTAAAAACCGTTGTCGAGTCCTTCACATGTTTGTGAATTGGCTAAAGCCAACACAAAGCAGACAAACGCCATTGCAGACATTTTCTAATTGATTTCTTTCTCATTTTCCAGCCTTAAATGTGCTTTCGTTCCGTCAACCTCTCAGAATCTTATCAGTATCGATCACGAGATTGAATTGTTGTAATGGTCCTATATATCATCAATTTTTTTTGAAAACTGATTTAAATAATTTTATTTTTATAATAAGAAATAATTTATCAATAACATTTTAATAACATTTTTTGAAAAGTAACTAATAAGTGTATTATTATAAAACCGCCACAAAAATTGAAGTTTTGTTGAAAGAATATTCAAGAAACCCTAATTTCCCGCCTTTTATTAATAAAAAAACAAGGAAACAAAAGCCATTTATTCGTTCTTTTTAAAAATACGCACTCATTTACCAATCTAAAATAAGGGTTTTGTTACCATAAAGCCAAAGTTGCTAAAAACACAAAGAAAAAAAAATGTTATTACAATATCTTTTAATTTTATTATTTAATAGTTCTTCTCTACCACACGAAGAACACTCCAAGCATTTCTTTTTTGGAAAAATTCGGGAAAGCGAAGCTGACAATACGAAAACCCAGTTATAATTCCAAACATAGTAAAAACAACCATAATTAATAGTAAATTTTAATTCAAAAAACGAAAAAAAGATGAAAAAGAAGAGAGAATTTATAAGAATTACTTAAAGACTTCTAGTGTATAAAAAACTCACAGAAAATCGAAAGAAAGAGAGCTTTCCTTATATAATTTGAATCAAAGTCAAACAACTGATTTTAACTAAGAAATTCAAAAGAATAAGTTAGTGGAGATGAACAAAGCTTTAAAATATCTCATGTTGCCTTTAGACAATTTTCCACGACTCTGTCTTACCGCATTCCTCTTTAACTTTGCGAGTTATTTTTATTGGCTTGTAGTACCTTTGATGTGTGTTGATCAAGGAGGTTCAACACTCGACTTATCTTTATTACAAACAGTTGCGTTTGTAATTTACTCGATTCTCTCGCCGTTCTGTGGGAAACTTGGAGATGTGTTTAACTCGTTCATCATCATCCGTGTTGCAATGTGTTTCTTTGTAGCTGCTGTTGCCGTAATATTGATATTCCCACGTACGTTCTTTGTTCTGTACATATCAGTCGCGTTGTGGCCTTTCTGCACATCGTGTTATTGGCCCATTACAACGGGGACGTGTGGTTTAGAGGCTGAACTTGGGTGTGAGAATCGAAATGCTTCTTTGTATCAAGTGTCGTGGTCTATAGGTAAAGTTTGTAGTATTATTATTATAATTAGTAGTATTCTTTATAGTATTATTATATGATTAAAAGACCTATTAGATATAGTTTTTCCTGCAAATATAATTTAATTCGTAGTCACTTGGATTTTTGTTGGGTGGGATACTGAAAGGAGCCCTTGGAACAAATGCGCTGTACATTTGTATTGCCATTGTTGCTGTGAATATGGTCATATACCCATATCGTCATCCAAAGAAGTTAAGAGAGCGATTAGCTAAAGAAAAGGCCGAGAAGACCAAAACAAAGAAAGATGTGAAAGTTGAAGTGACGTTGGAGAAGAATACAACACCATCAATCAAAGAAGACCACCCACTTAATATCGCAGCAAGCAGTCCATTTGCCCCAACACATCAAAGCGAAACAACTGATGTTGAAATTCCAACGGAGGTCTTACACCAACTAAATGGAGAACAACCACCTGAAACGCCCATTGAAGTTCCAACCACTAAAACAGTTGACGACTCGAATTTGAGTGACTTACAAAAGCTGAAATTGAAATGGAATTCGTTGGATCTTAAAAATAAGACTTACATCTACATTGGATATATCTTACAACTTGGGATCTATGGGACTTCTGCAATATTAACAAATTCGTACGTCAAGTTGGCGCAAGACAAAGATATCACTATTCCAATCGGATCGAATCCCCTCGAAATGTATATTGGAATCACTTTCTTCTTCTATTTCATCGCACAGACAATCGGTTTGTTTAATTAATTTAATTACTATGAAATGATAATTTCACCCTCACATGTAGTTATGATTTGTATGTCTTTCACAACAATATGGATTTATATGAGAAGTTTGATCTTTTTGGTCCAACTCTTCTATTTAGCTTTTCTGTTTTGTTTGTCGATGAGTTCACAGCCGTATGTGAATTGGGTCTTAGCCTTCTTTGGAGGGTTAGCGGGTGGGTTTGCGTATCAGACGTCAACATATTACTCGATGAGAGCAAGTGAGTCGAGCAAATCGATGTTTGTTGGGATATCTGAGTGTATAGGTGGTCTTGGAAATGCACTTCTTCCATTATTCAGTGGCCTTCTCTGCACTTTCATGTCCGACAATTACATTCAGATCTACATTTCTATTATCTTCGTCTTATTCTGTTGCATTGCCGAAGAAATAGTGTACCACTCCGCTCATTTCATTAATGAGAAGCGACAAGAAAAAAGAATCGATCCAAAGGATGTTGTCGCACACCATTCACCCGAAGTTCAAATTGAGCTCGCAGACAACGCCAAAGAAGACAAATAAGATGTACCGTTGTGTTAAAATTATTGAATTATTTGAATATTCTTCGTTCGTTGTGTAGTACTCAAACACATTATACCACTTGGGTATATAATATATAAACCAGAAATTATACCCTCACATACTTAAACGACTTTGATGTGTCTGAAGAAGCTCTTCAAGTTCTTGTATTGCCAATACGCAAGTGCCGCGAAGATCGAGATTTGGATGATTGCAAACAGTTTAACTCTGAATATAGTTGATTGGGTCGTTTGTTCAAATGACTCGTGTTGCTCTGTTTGATACTTGATTTCGCTTTGGAGGGCTTTGACCAAGTCGATTTGTTGTGTGAATTGCACTTCGACGTCGTTCAAATCTTCGGTCTTGGCGACGTTTTCATAGTCGATAGCTTCAATGCCGACTTCTAAGTTCAACGCAAATTTGTATTCGACGTCATATCTAACGGCGTTTTGCACAGAAAAGCAGATCGTGTACTCTCCAAGCTCTTTAGTTGTGAACATGACAACACCATCCGGATCAATTGCAGCCTGTTCATCTTTCTTTCCAGAATCTTGTGGGAAGTGAAGAACATATTGCAAATTGATCACATCATCCTTCCCGTATTTCCCCGCATTCATCGACGAGATTTTGTAGTGCGCATGGACTAATGTCCCCACTGGCTCATCAATTGAAAAACACTTCTCGGTCTTCCCGTAGATCTTGAAGAAGACTTCGGGCTCCTGTGCTCGAAGCTCGAGAGCAAAGAATAAGAGGAGAAGATACATCAACTGGATTTATGAGTTCCTAGTCTTTATCAAGTCGGTGACGTATAGTTCTTCTTCAGTTAATAAATTAATAAGGAATACTTAATTTTGTTTAATATTAATTAAATATTAGAAGAATTAAAATTGGACGGGAAAGAGATTACTTGTAACGTCTGGAACTATTAACAAATTATAAAACAATTAATAAAAACAGGAAATAGTAAATTTGTGAAGAAATCAGAGATGTAGTGTTGATCCAAGAAAGACTTCTTGAGATCCATATGTAACATTTTCGTAGAGTATAGAAAGTTGATACAATGACTTCTATATATTAGTGCCATATTCGTTAAGTTATTTTAAACTTAAAACATTAGTAAAACAAACATAAAACGTTGGAAACTTTTCGAGGAACTCTCTAAACTTGGAGAAGAGCAAAACACCCTTTTTGTCTTTCTCCAAAACGACTTTGTGATACACCCGAAGCCAAAGTAAGTGAATCACAAAAAGTGGTTGCGTGTCGACACATTGTTCCATGATTTCTGTGAGGAGAAAAGATTTCAAAACCGGGTGTGCCGTCGTTTTGGCGAAATACACGCCAACCGGGTACTGTGTGATTGTGCACAACAAAACGTAAAGACATTCCACCGCTTGAGTTGAAAATGGCAGAAACGGATTTGCCATTTTCGTCAATTTAAAAGCAAAGAACAATTCTTTTACCGTCAGTTTCTTGTTTTCCTTTTCTATAGCATTGAACACAGTTGCTTGATTCAAGTACGAAAAAATATCCTCGGAATTATAATGTAAAATCCAAATGATTAATGTTAACATTTGTTCTTGACTCAAATCTTTCATTTCATCGTGTAAAACCGAGATAACATCACTTCTCATTTTCATGCTTTCAAAAAACGAAAACACTCCAAAATTGTCAAAGATATTGTTGTACTCAAACACCGCCGTTTTGGTATCAAAACTTTTTTCAATTTCCAAAAATTTTGTGTCATGAGATATCATTTTGTAATGCATTGCGTTGACAAAATTTGGCACGTCATAACTCTGTGGAAATTTCAAAGTAAAATTCTTGTTTTGACTTGGAAACGCCCGAAACAAAAGTTGTGTGTTTTTTTCCACAAAGAAGTGTTGTTTCAAATTCTCCACAATAACATTTCCCTCGTCACTTTTGGATAACATTTTAACTATACTTGCAACAAATGGGACTTCACAGAATGATAGTAACTTAAACGTTTTAAAAACTAGTTGGAGCATATCATTTTGTTTATAATATCGACAGTTCTGTGGATAGTTTAAAAACCCATTTAAAATGACACATATGAGTCTTTCAAATACAGCCATATCGGTGTCCCTCACATTCGATATTTTGTTACAAAAATTGTTGAACAAGTTTACCGTGCTTTGGAACGACTTAGTGAATGATAAATCGACATAATAGAGTTTCATCACATCAGCGTCGAAAAAGAACCTAAAGCTGTCCAACAGTGCGTAATTCGTGTTTTTCAAATTTGTAATAATCCCACTGCTTGTCTCATCAAAATTTGTTGTGAAGAGTGTTTTGAAGTAAAATGACTCATTTTTCTCGTAAACGGGTAATACAAAACATTTATAATTTTTATAGTTATAAGTACTAGAAGCTAATGGTATGAACCAGTTATATCCAATTGTTCGAATAAATTCGGTATTATTGGAATATTTCCTCAGTGCCTTTGCAAGATGAAAAATGAAAGGATCCGTGCTGTTGATCTTTTCTGATGATACGCTTGATATGAGTGTATAAAGTACTTCATTCTGTAATACCAACAAAAGACCTTTAAAAACTCGAGTGAAGTTTGTTATTTGTGTCAGTGGATCAGTAACGAAATCAAAAAACGTTTGCACTGCTAAAAGAACACAACGGACTATAGCTTTAGCTTGGGCAAGATCGGTTTTGAAAAACTGTTCGAAGACAACGGGATTTTCACATGAAAATGTGTTATGGGTTAAGCAGTTGTTTGTACATCCATTTTTGAATATACCACAGTCACAATATCCACACGATGTATCACTTCGAGTATAGCTATGCCCAATATGTTGACTCGGATCAAAACAATTCGCACACAAACAAATCCCATCGCCATAACATCTCTTACAAGAGTAACTCGTGTAAATCGGTCCAAAGCATTTACGCCGTTTAGGGCTTTGTGCAAACGCGTCTACTAACATGCTAACATTTGCAAATCCAAAAGTATTTGACAATAACATATCTGTCGTTGAGAAACGACTTTGGCAAACTTGATTGAGTTGTGTCTCAAACACTTTTTCAAATTCTTGTGGATTAATCCCACGAAGTATATTCATAGCGTTTTATGTATGTTCAATTATTGAGTTCTTTCATTATACTTATAATAATAATTATTATATTTGTTGAGTGTTTTTCTTCTTTTCATTTATTCCTCTTAATTTTATTCAATAGTTTGATATTTTTTGTAAAACAATTGAAAACTGTTCAATCGTAATTATTATAAAGTCTGTTTTCTATTTAACAATATTGGGTTTTTACTATTATTTATAATAACAGTATTATAATTTATAATAAAAATAAAGTGGTTTTTCTAAAAAATGGTTTGTATTTTATTTTTTTGTTCTTTTTTTAAAAAAGTGTGCTAAAAATAACAAAAAACAAAATTGCTTTACAACTAAAAAAATAATAAAGTCAAAACGAAGAATAGGTTGGTCTTGAAATGTGAATACGACGAAATAAACTATGTCAACCAGGTTATTCAAAATGAATATGTTGTCATATTTGATAGAGCAGACATGTCAAATTATCATTTGGGTCAAATTGAAAACGACAACAAGTGAATTGGAAAAAAGTCAATGCTTAGGATTTGTTAATCATTGGTTTTAATTAATGACAATTTTATTAAAAGTTAATGGTTTTTAATTAGCGATATTGAGTATAGTAAATAATGGTTTAATATTTTCGGTCTAGTTCTTTTCTTTATTATATTTTTAGAATATCGCTAAATAGAAAACAGACTTTATAATAATTATATAATAATTATATACTTTTACATTCTTTTCTTTTCTTTAAAAAAAAATGTGTTATTCAATTTGATTAATGTTATTCATGCCCATTAAACAAATTTTGTTATTCTAAATCAGAAAACCAAAAAGTGAACTAAAAATGAAAGGAGAAGTACAATGGCAGGAGTGACTGTGAAAGCTTTACTTATCACCGACTTGGACGGAAAACGCCTCTTTAGCAAATTCTATGACAAAGAAATCCTCAAACCCAAACAGACGGACATTGAGCTCCACGTCGCAAAGTCGACTACCTCAAAAGGGAATAGTGAGCTCTTCTTGCTAGACAAGTACTTAGTGATTTATAAGATCGTTTCGGATCTTATTATATCGATTATAACGGACGCCACAGAAAATGAGTTATTTGTCAACAATGCCTTGTCATGCATTGTCGACACGTTTGGTATTGTCTTTAGTTCAAAAGGATTTGATAAAAAGACTGCTTTAGAGTATTTCGACAAAGTAGCTATAACGGTTGATGAAGTCATAGATGACGGATTTATTCTTGATACCGACCCAGAAACAGTAGCCAATAGAGTTAACCTGAAAGGGCTTGAAGGAAATGAGTCGATCAATTTATCAGACGCCACAATCACTGATGCTTTACACTTTGCTAAAGGCTCCCTCATCAATTTATGGAGGGGGAAATAATTTTATTTGATTTTAGAATTGGTCCATTGCTTGGGTGTGACACTGACGAAATAAGACTCAATTAAATTCGATCAACGGGTCGTAGAGGTATCCGTACATATTCTCTTTTCCTCTTTCTGCTGTTCCGTAATTGCCAGAGACGGTCATACTGACTTTAGTTGATGATATTTTGATTGGTTCGAGTGTCTTTGGGAGTTTGTTGATGAGGGTTGTGTCGTCGTTATAGAACAAAGTAACGCTCTTTGTTATTTCTTAGTCATAATAATACAATAAAATGAACAAACTGTGGAGAAAAAGTCGTGAAGACGTTAGGTGAACCATAATGGTCACAATTGAATTTCATCGTCGTTTTCTTTTCTTCGTCAGTAATCCCATCAACCCAAGAAGGACATACATAACTTTTGTCATAATATGGACAGACTAAATTAACAATGGATTCGGAAAGAGTGGAAAGGCAATCGGACTTTGCTGCATTAAACATGTAGTAGTTTCCGCTTGGTTCCGCAGTGTCAAGTGTGATGTTACATCCTCTTAAGTTTTCAATAGCCTTTGCAATTCTTTCGACTACCCTTGGAATCACTTCTTCCTTGAAAAGGGTGAGATAGAGTGTAATATGAGGCGCACATTTCGAAAAGTCAATTTGGTTGTTCACTCCATACGTTGAGGAGAGGGATTGCGTGAGGTCGATGATCTTTTGTTCGTCTTCCTGACTAAATCTGATGTTAATATTATAGTCGACTCCGAGTGTTCCAAATACAAAGAACAACAATAAAACCATACCTTTGCTCTTTTAAGTTCTATTTAATTCTTATTATAATAAACATTTTCTTCTTAAAGTGCAGAAATCTTTGGTGTGTTTTGATTTCCTCTATTTTAGTCTGTGAATCATTACTCTCTCATTTAATTGGTAAAACAACTATTGTAATGCCATACGAAATAGGTTGCAAAACGTAATTGGTTCCTTAAATTATTGATTTTATACGAATTCTTAATTGAATAAATCGGGAGTTAAGTGTTGTTTTTTCTCCAATTTTGTTGGCTTTTCTTATGTATTTCGTACTCAACCACACACCATTTCTTGTATTATTAATAATGGTTTAAATATATTATAATTTATAGTAATGATAGTTCTTTCCAGTAGAAACAAATTCTATAAGTATCATTTAATTTACTATAAAATGGTAAACGCATGAGCACCAATCAATTGAAGACATTTCCATACACAATTAGCAGCATCCGCTGTCTTGTTCCTTTCCTTTATTCAGTTGGAGAGTTTCCTTCTGTCCCATTTGGTCGTCGAGATTGATTGCGTCGAACAACTTGACGAACGCGTCTTTGACACCTTTGAATTAATAAATTTAGTAGTTTTAAGTATAATAAAGTATTAATTAAAATTAAAGAACAAACCATTCCCAGTCTTCGCAGAAGCTTCAGCGTAGAGCATCCCTAATTCTGTTGCTAGTCTTTGAGCATCTTCAGTTTTAACTACGCGGTCTGCACCAGCATCAGACTTGTTTCCTAGAAGCATACATACAACTTCGGGCTCCGCTTTTAACAATTCACTTTGCCACATTCGAACGTCATCAAATGTTGTTGGATTTGTCACATCGTATACAATCACCGCACCACGACTTCCTCTATAATACATTGAAACCATCGATTTGTATTTCTTTGTTGTCAGTCACACAGACGCACGATACATACACAACAAACTTCTTGACCAGCTGGATGTGAGTTATTACTATTGTTAATGTTAAACATTTGAAACAGAATAACTCGATCAATAAGATAATTATGATATGAAACATCTAGTTTAGTATTAATAGTATACTTTAATTATAAATAAAAGTACAAACCAGTATCCCAAAGTGCTAATTTGATTTCTTGTCCCTTTCGCATGTAACTTGTCGCAACAAAGTTCGCGCCGATGGTGGCTTTTTCTGCTTGATTGAAAGTGTTCTTTGTATATCGATTAACCAAACACGTCTTTAAGTTATCACTTTTAAAAGTAATCCATATGAAATTTTACAAAAACAAACCTTACCAACACCTTGACTTCCACACAAACAGACTTTATATATTGTAAGGTTGTTATACATTATACTTTATAGCACTTTTTGGGTTTTATAGTTTTGACTTTTTCAGTTTACTATTCAAAAAGAATAGTTGGAATTATAAGTTTATATTTCTATCAAAATATAATATAATAACTATACAAACCCAAATACTATTTATAAATATGGTTCTATTTCTATAATCTTATCTAAAAATAATACAAGAAGTATTCCAAAACATGACACAATTATTTTATTGTTTGGAATTTATTATTAAAATAGTTTTTCAATTCCTTTTTTTTTAATTATCTTGTTTTGTATGAATAGAAATAATTATTCAGTTTAATGGTATATTTTAAATTTATATATTATAAGAATATAATACAGTAAAAAGTTGTGAAGTATTTGATACTATTTTCTTATGTTAATTATTACTAGTTTATTTCTAATAACTTATTAATACAATTAACAAACTTTGTTTGACTTACCCGTCACTCAAAGACGTCGTGTTTTTTTTTATTTATATAAATATTGAACACTGTATTATATTTTATTATTAATAAATGATATGAATAAAAGAGAGTGAGATGGTATAGAAACAAATATGCAAAAACACAGCATTTACAATTAGACTGACACAATGATAAGAGTTGTATAATCCATTTTTGTGAATCCACATTGTAGAATAACGTTTCCGACATAGTCTGTTCTGTTCAAGACGACGCCAATGAGACAAGGTACTGTTAACCCAATTCGTTTCGTTGTTAAAGAGATTTCCAAGTTAGAAGGGAGAGGAGCACTAAATAAAAAGGTTGGATCATAACAATTCCATGGCAAGCTAGGGAAGCTGACTGGTACAATTGAACTTCCAACGCCTGTTTGGACTGATGTGATTGTATTAAAAGAAGTCATTTCGAATACGTGGTAAGCTGTTGATTAGTATGTATTATCTTCTCTTCCAAAACTTGAATGATTTGCTCAACAAACGTTGCATCGAAATGAGAGAAATGAGTGCAATTGCCCCAATGACATGGAAAGACGCCATAATGGTCAGCGCAATGACACTTCTAAATTGTTTTGAGCAATTGAAGTGTATGATAGCAGTTAGTGTGATGAGACTAATAAATATCAGTGCATACAACGCACAGATTAAAATCCCCATCACACCAACTATGAATGAGATCGTAAATGAACAAAAGATAGCAGTGATAACAATGGACCATGACACCACCTGAAGTGAACTCCAAAACACGTTGTTTTTAAATACGGTTAATAAAGAGTCGGGTTTGACTATCAGATCTTTCACTTCGTCTTTGTTTACTATCACAAAGGACCACTGGACACACGCAATCACAATCAATACACTCTCTATCAAATACAGTGGTTTAATCAACGGGACAATAAGTGCAGATACAGAAAATGCTATGGCACTGAACACCAAAAACAAAGTCGGTCCAAAGCAATGTTTGGGGTCATTTCTGCTGTACTCCCTCTTCTTGTTAAGCAGAATGTCATATGTCGACTTCTGTCTATGGAACTCATCTTCAACATAATTCAATTGCCTCAATGCGTTCTTTGCAGTCGAACTCAGTGTTTTAAACTCGTTGTGTGTCTTTAAAGCAAGTGAGTCACTCTCTTTCTCTATTTCTTTAAGTGCTTCAACCATTATAGGAATGACTCCAATCATATCCACACTCAGTCCTCCCTCCTCATCTTCACTCACTAAGTCTGGGTAGACTTGTTGCACCTCTTGAGCCAGGAATCCGTACCTTGGTCCCGCTTTTTGTGGGTCTGTCAAGTACTTAAATTGCCTTCCACACAATTGTGAGAGTCCGTATAATGCATTTCCAATCGACTGAAAATGAGTTTTGCTCTTTTCATCGGACCTCACCAAAAACCCTTCATCTGCAAACACCTCTCCAAACATGTGGAGTTGTTGCAGCTTATTCCCAATTCGTTTGATCTTGAGTAAATCATTGACATCATATTCTTGGTCTGGTTTCACATCATCGGACTCCATCTTAATCTCACCTGATTCAGCAACGTCTTTCTCTTCTAGAAGACGCTGCAAACTCGAAAAATGTGGCGATGTTGTCGTCTCATTACTCGAAGCATTTACATCATAATTCTCGACTGTTAATAATTCAGGTTTTAACACACATTCTTTCTTGTTCTCGTCCTTCTGCATTTTATTCAGCGCGTTCCCTATAATTGGCGCCATTGCCTCTGTAAAAGCAAAAGGATATGTCTGTCTCCCTTGTGTTTTATCGACCAACTTAATCATGAATTTGTCACACATTTTCTTCACTTTGACTTTGTCTCTTTCTTCCAAATTTTTGAACGATGTCAAACAAATGTTCTCGACGTTTTTCGACGGGTCTGTCAGTTGCGGTTTGACGTGTGAATCCCAAATGTGTGCGTATGCGTTATACCTCGTCATTGGCAACTTGTTACATCCTTGAAATCCACACTTCCAGTTCTTCTTTCGTTGTGTTTGGGTCCTTGGGACTTCTTTCACTGGTATATTCATTATACCTGTGAATTGGTTCATCATGTGTTATTTTATAGTTTTTTTATTATTTTTCTTTAAAACAATCCAAAGCAGTCATTTTGATATCCAAAAACTCTTCGATTTTTGGTTTGATTTTTGTCCACCAAATCCACTGATTCTACAACAAAACTATAAATTTATTATAATAAAACTATTTTATTTTCTCAAAAAGTGAGCTTGAAGCCTTTGAATTTGAACGTCACGTCAAAAGTATTAACTTAATAGTACTTTTGTCAAATAAGAACAAATTAGACGGAATAACCAATTAAACTATAGCAAAACTAGACAAAATTGTTCTTTACTTTTTCTTGCCAAAGAACCCACTGAACGAAAAGAACCCCGACGAATTCGTCCTTTGTTCGAGTCTTTGCTGCGGTTGCTGCTCTTTGATAGGTGTCCCCGATATTTCCTTTGGTTCGTCCAAGTCGATGTTGACTGCTTCCAGAATGAGGGGCTTGTCGAGCCCTTTAATTTCGATGACGTGTCTCGTCTTAGGTGTGACACTGCATGTGAAGTCAATGCGACTCAACGGAGTGAATGTGAATGAGTCTCTGACATCGACGGCTTGTAACGGTGGTACTGGGTAGTTTACTTGAACCAAAGAGTTTCTTTCTGGTGATGGGATTTCAAAGAGTTGTGAAGGTGTTTGTCCGAATTCTCTTGCTTGATCTTTAAAACTGATTGTCTTAGTATCAATAAAATCATTTTCATACGTTGCGGGGTAAAACACATTATCCGCATCAAATGCTGCTGGCGGTCGTTGTAAATAGCCGAAGATGAGGTCGACCCATTTATTGATATTCTCTGATACATAATCAGACTCAAGAGCGTCTTTCATGATCTGTTCAAAGTCTTCTTGTGTTGTTGCCCACTTTGGGAGTCTGACTGAGTCGATCATGTCTTGTGTAGTTCTATACCCAAAATATACATGGTCTTTGTTATTCAGAAAACTAGTGTTTTGATAGAACTCAGGCACAAGTTCTTTAACATCACTTGTGTGGCTCAACACGCCATTCCAACATTCTTCAATTGAGCTGAATATTCGATCCGGCTTATCAAAGACGCCATTTTGCAGATGCAACATAAACTCAGGCACTAATCGGACCAAGAAAAACACAACATACGCTGGTGTGGAGTAGTGTGTACCATACAAGAAGAGAGGGGGGTTCATCTCCATCATTCTATCACGTAATTTGTCCAACCGTTCATGATTTAATGCGCCAATAGGTTTCGATAAGTCTCTGAAATTTGTCGTGTCATTCAAGTCGAGAGAGTCTGACGTGTAATTTGAGAGAACCCAAGGGAAGACGGGGTATTGTGTTAAATCATTATAACTTCTTCCCGCTTGGAAATTCAAATAGATGAGGTATTCATAATTGGAAAGTGACCTTTCCTTCCACTTCTTTATCATTTCATTGAATTGACTCCCATCGTCCGGCTTCACTTTACACTTCGTCGAGTTGTAAATTGTCGCTTGGACTTTGTTTCTGACCTCTGGCGAACTGAACACAATGAACGTCGACGTCTTTTGAAAGAAGAATTCAAGACCAGTGTGTTGCATGACATACCTCCGGCGAAATAAGTAGACAACATCATTCAAATTTGCACTCTTCGTTGCGATGTTTTCTTCGACATAAGGCTATTCCATTAGTTTTATTTCATGTCCATGAGTATAAAAGGCAAGTAATAACAAACGATGAAGTAAAATGCGTATTGTGTGAGGACAAATCTCCCCGAAATTTCCATTAAAGGAAGGATCTGTGTAGCTGGACAATTTTCTAAAATAGTCTCGTCGACTCTTTTAAACATTCCGATATGAGGTTGGAGGGAGTCAAGTCGAGAGTTAATGTATTCATTTGCGTAGACGTAGACATCTTCCTTATCTCCGGATTTAAATAGTTTGTGCATGCGATTGAGTAATTGGAATATTTCCTCAAAGTTCACAAATTTTGGAGTCAATTGGTGTGTCTTGTCAACTTCAACACTGTTATATGGCTTGATCCCATTTTGTTCTTTCATATCGGTGTGTTTACTTGATTTAATAATAATTTCGTTGTTGGGGGTTTTCACAAGTTCATAAATCTATAAATAAATTCATTGCTTTAATATGCAACTTAATACAGATCTGAGGTATACTATACTACAACAAACGTTGTCATATTGAATTCGGCGAATAGGAAACGACTGTTCGTCTGAAGCAAAAAACACTGAGAACGAGCATATTTTCAAAGTGCCCATAACTTCTCTACTCATGAATTTGTTTAGACTAGTGGTCTTCACTACCAATAATGCAATTAAAAAAAATAAGCAAACTGCTGTCGATTAGTATCAAAGTACACACATGCACAGTCATTCAAATATTGTTCTCCAGGTTCGAGCAATAGAAGGTTGAACCGACTTTTGGGCTTCACAAAGCTGTAATTGCGCAAAGTGTTTTTCCGCATCAAATTTGAAATTTTCAGTTCAAAAAGTGTATCCTTTTCGAGCAATTTCTTTCGTTAATTGGGGTTCTACTTTCAGTCAAATAGCTATGTTATTTTAATATCTTTTACTATATAAATACTATACAATAGATCCCCCTTCTTTCATTCAAATAACATTTTAAATAACATTTTAAATAACATTTTAAATAACATTTTAAATAACATTTTAAAGGGTGTTAAAAAAGTGTTGAAATTGTACGAATATTTTGAGTATAATTTTGCTAACAAATCGGGAAAATTGGGATAAGTGGACATTGAATTTTTTCAGAAACCCTTAGAAAAAGACCTGAACTCAAAAGAACTATCAAATGCACAACTCGCATGTCAAAGCTGTATGTGTGTAACCTTTCCTACTCAACGAAGGAGAGTGATTTAGAGAAGTTCTTTGCATCGTTTGGAAATATCAAAAGCTGCAAGTTGATGATAAGCCGTGGATACTCGAAAGGGTTTGGATTTGTCGAGTACGAGACGGAGGATGACGCGAAAAAGGCGCTTGCTGCGAATGAAACTGAGTTCATGGGCCGTAAGTTGCGCATTGATATTGCACGCCCCCCAAGAGAACGCCATGAGTCTGCTCAACAAGGTTCCCAAGAAGGAGATAATGAGAGACGTGACGAGAGAAGTGGAGCACCACGCCGATATGGAGGGTATAGAAACTATGAGAACAGATACAACAGAAACTACGAGAGAAGTTATGAGAGACCATACCAACGAAATGATGGAGAAGTCAGAGAATATAGAAGTTATCAGAGAAGACCATATAACCCAAATTACGAGAGACGCTACGAGAGAAGAAATTATGATAATGAATATGAGAGAAGACCTTATGAAGGACATTATCAACGTAAACCATATTATACAAGACCTTACAAAAAAGAGGAAGAGAACGTCGAAGTGTCAGACACTTTTGTCTTTGTGAAAAATTTGCCGTATTCTGTCGACGACGCTCAACTCGCGGAGGTCTTTGCGAAGTATTCAGTGAAGAAAGCAGTGATTGCACACTTCAATAAAGGAACTAAAGTGCTCAGCAAAGGGTTTGGATTTGTCGAACTGGAGAGTAAGGAGAAGCAACAACTTGCGATTACAGAAATGAACAATTTCGTGATAGAGAACAGAAACATCACCGTCGTTGCGGCGTTCAAGAGACAAGAAGAACAGACTGTCAAAAATTAAGTACCTTTGGTTTTCTATGGCTTTATTCATTGTCCGTATACTTCATTTCTCGATTCTATTTTAATAGTTTCATTCTAGTTTTTTTTAACTTAATGGTTAAACCATACAATAATAGTAAAAGGAACTATTAAGATATGTTTTGTTGACGACTACTGTGATGGATTTTTTGACGCACTCAAATAGGAAAGAAATAGAATAGTAAATCAATGAGAAGAGAAGTAATAATGAATAGTAAAATGGTTCAATAAAGTATTACTCGAGAATTTGTCCATTTGAGTTGATGGACAAACTAAAAATACACACAACTCGAATTACCAAACAAAAATGCCTAAAGAACACTTGAAGCTCTGGCGAAACGTTACACCACCAACAACACTGGATGAAAATATCTCCGAAAGTACCCCAAACGTCATCATGAAGCTTGAAAAATCTAAAGTCCCACCCCCGTCTCTGACATCACTTTTAACGACAAAATTTTCGACAACGTATAACAAATGCTCCGATACAATCAATTTTTCAACATTCATCTCAAAGAGAGTACTGACGTTTCCATCAACACCAGCGACGGGAAAGGAAAACGAGAATTACGATTTGATAGTTACTGTTGACGATATGTTTGGCTCATTCTATTCGAAATCGTTTGTCGCTGTTTACTTGTTTGAAACACTTTTATGAGAATTATTCATTTGTAGAACATCAATGAGAGTGGAGAGCGCTTATCGAGTTATTGGGATGCTTGGTAGAGGGTCTTTTGGCCAAGTCTTCAGGTGTGTTGATATGAACACCAAGCAATTAGTTGCGCTTAAAATATTGAAGAACCAATTGGTATACTTAAGGCAAGGGATGCTCGAAATCACTGTCCTTACGATATTGAACGACTTTTATAACACTGAGTCCGAATCAAATACAGTGAAAATGTTGGACCACTTTGTACAAGAAGGACATTTGTGTATTGTCTTTGAACTTCTGTCACTTAATTTGTATGATGTGCTGAACCAAAATGGGTTTCATGGGTTTCCATACAATTTCAATAGAAGTGTTGCAAAGCAACTTTTGCACTCTCTTAATGTACTCCATAGAAATGGTATTGTACACTGTGACTTGAAGCCTGAAAACATTTTACTAGTCGAGTTTGTTCTTAAGAATTGAGAAGTTGAATACAACGAATGGGGACTCAATGATAGCGGATCGTCTAAAATTCGGTTGATTGATTTTGGGAGTTCGTGCTTTGTAGAGACGCCTTTGTACACATACATCCAATCGCGACACTACCGATCACCGGAAGTGATATTGGGAATACCATATTCAACGGCAATTGATATGTGGAGTCTTGGGTGTGTAGTGGCCGAACTCTTTTTTGGGATCACCCTCTTTGCGGGGAGTTCCGAGTACAATCAACTCGTGAAGATCACTTCGCTACTTGGAGAGATTGATAACTCGATATTGGAAAAGGGGAGTAAAACGCTTGAATTTTATATGAAAGAGGGAGACACGTATCGACTTAAAACACAGAGCGAGTACGAGAGAACGATGAACGTGCATGTAGCTTATAATAAGTCATATTACCAAGAGACGAGTCTTGAAGAGATAGTCAGAAGTTGCTCGGAGGCTGTTGAAATGGACGAGAACGAAACGACGAATTTACTCGACTTCTTGCGGCGGGTGTTTGTATATGACCCGAGTAAGCGGATGAGTGCAGTGGAAGCATTAGAACACCCATTTATTGGTGGGAAGAAAGGGAAAGGACGAACGGTAGTAACATTAATCAAGCGAGAGAATGTGAGTGGTTCAAGAATCGAAGAAATATTGTATGGAGGAGAGAAACCGAATTGGAACACCGCGGAAGCATACTACGAAGTCTTTCTGAAAGCACTACAGAAGGGATTTGTTTTGAATGTGCTCGACCCAAACCCATTTGCTTCGCCAAGTATTTTTGCGTTCTCACGCGAAGTGGCCGGGTTGTCTGAGGACGAACGGAGTGTCAGTCGGATGGAGTTTGAAAAGATCCCATATATGGTCCAACGGAAAGTAGAAGTCAAAAGCGAAGAGAAATCACCGGAAATTGTTGTTGCAACAGGAACAAAGGGAGTCTACGATGAAGCAATTCTGGCGTATTATGAAGACGACAATCCACCTAAGGACTCACCAGGGGTAAGGAACTTTTATTCACCCGCTGATTACTACTGATTGCTCAGGTAGTCTTTTTAATTAATGTTGTGTATGTTTGTCAACTGTTTGGGATGAATCAATGATTTATTTGTGTTTTGAATATAGGTGATGACTTAGTTTGACTATTGATACAATAACTTGAATAAACAAAGAAAATAGTTTGTAATGTCGAGTTATTCTACTGTGTGAAAAATTTTTCAAACCATTTTTCTTTCAATGAAATGAAGTATTTCAAAATAACTACAAGTGTATTTACTATTATACATGGAAAAAATAATTCCAGTTTATATACTCAAAAAGAAGAAAACAAAATGGTTTGAGAAATACATAATTAACCATTTTTGTTTTGTCTGTAATAAGACTCTATTGATGTAAGAAAACATCTGTTTTCATTGTCGAAAAACAATTATTTGGAAAAAGAACATCTATTAATAACTAGACTCTTTGGTTTTCTTTTTTTCCTTCTTTCTATTCTTAAATACACATTTTAATTAAAATTATAGTATATAAACCATATTGAAATTCAATAAAAGTAACCTTTTTTCTTAAATAAATAAGAAAAAAAGACCCTTTTTGAGAAAAAACAAAATAATCCCGTCCAATCGGTAATAAAAATGTGCAATATAATTGTGTTATACCAATATAAAACTTAATTATAACAGCTGTGCCTCTTCGATACCAAAGATTTTGGCCATATAACACCCCAACGAATCATTGAAAAAAATCATCAAATTATCATTCTACAATCTTCTCTAATTCTCTGTTCTTCCAGATCCTCTCCTCCGCTTCCTCTAACACTTCAACGAACTCGAATTCTGAATTGTAGATGCAAAACAGCGAGGAGGAACTCTTTGCCGAAATTGCTTCAATTGATTTTCTTAAGTTCTCATTCAACTCCCGGTCGTACGAACAACAACTGAAGGACGCTTATAAACGCTCTGGCCACGTATGTGGCGTCACATGCTTACTCCGCTACATAGGCGTTTGTTACTCTCCGATTGACTTCCATTTCATTCAAACCGGCTGAACTTACGAATAGGGTATTAAGGTGGTATGGCTCCGTCACGAGTTCGACTTTATCGGTGGGTCCCTTGGCTGTGCTGAAGGAGAAAAGTTATGTCGTGGTATAGAGCACGCCATCAACGAGAAACTTCCCGTCGTCATTGAAATTCGTTCTGGTGGGGCTCGAATGCAAGAAGGGACCCTCTCCTTAATGCAAATGGCGAAAGTCAGTGTTGCGGTCCAAGCACTTAAAGGACGACATCTTCCGTTGATTACTGTGTTCCAAGACCCAACATTTGGAGGGACAACGGCGTCATATGCCATGCAGTCTGATATACGTATAGGGGTACATGGCACACGAATTGGATTTGCTGGTGAGAAAGTCATCTTGAATACTGTGTATCGAATGAATCAAGAGAAGTATGACCAAAATTGTCCAAAAGGGTTTCAAACGACTCAATTTCTATATGACCATGGGCAATTAGATATTGCCACTTCAGCCGATGAACTCGACACAACAGTCGTCCGGATTTTGAAAATTCTGTTAGCAAAAAGCACGGGAGTGACCGTGGAAAAACCCGTTCAGAACGAAGAACCAACTCATCACGAGTATTTGTTTAATTACAACGACTCTCGAAGGGAAGACAGAGTACAAGGCATTGATATCTTGAATAAAGTCTTTGACGGATTTATCGAATTACATGGAGATGGGAAAGTCGGGTCTGATAAGTGTGTTTGTGGTGGTCTTGCCACGTTTAAAGGGTATCCAGTGATGGCCATTTGCATGAAGAAAGGCCACAACCCAAACGAAATGATTGACTCCAACTTTGGAATGGCGACGCCAGCGGGATATCGTACTGCGTCGCGTTTGATGAAGTTGGCCGAGCAGTTTGGTCTTCCTGTAATTACATTAGTGGACACTCCGGGGGCTTATCCGTCGTTTGAAAGTGAAATAGAAGGACAGCCGGAGGCTATAGCGTATTCCCTTGTAACTATGGCATCTCTTCGAGTACCTATTATAACACTATTTGTAGGGGAAGGAGGAAGTGGTGGAGCTCTAGGAATTGCTATGGGGAATACCATAGGGATGTTATCTGGTGGGTATTATGGTGTAATAACCCCTGAAGGAGCCGCAAGTATTCTCTGCAAATACACCACTGAAGAAGAAAAGATCGCGAAGTTCCAGACTGATTGTGCTGAAATAGCAAAGAAGCAAGGGATCTACTGTGTAGACTTAAAGCGCCTTGGGGTGATCGACGAAATCATCGACGAAGTTCCAAATGAGAATTACAAGAACTTCCCAATTTTGTTGAAGAGAGTGTCAAGCTTCATCCAAGGAGCTTTGTCGACGTTGGTTGGGATGCAACCCGGTGAATTGGTTTCGAGTCGAATGAAAAAGTTCCGGTTGATGGGGATCTATGGTCACTGCAATATAACACCACGAGATATGTCGCCCGTTCCAAAACTCGGAGGTGCTACTCCTGCGCCGGTGACACCATATAAAGCAGCACCAACGCCACAAAACAATGTACTGACTCAAAGTGGGAACATAGCAGGACTTGTTTCATTTATAGCGGGAGTTACAGTGAATGCTCCTGTCTCAAGCCGAAAGGGAAATGTCCCCTCCGACTGCTTTGTATTGAAAAGACTAGTCCCAGAAAAGGTTATTAAAGTAGCTCGTGAGGACAGTGCAAAAGGGATTTTGGATAGTAAGGGTCCTGAAGAGTTGATGAAATGGGTCCAGAGCAGAAAGGAACTTTTGATCACAGACACCACAATGAGAGACGCCCAACAGTCATTAATAGCTACACGAGTACGAACTGCCGATTTATTAACAGTTGCAGAGGAACAAGGAACTCAACTTGATGGAGCATTTTCGATGGAAATGTGGGGAGGCGCGACGTTTGATGTGTGTTACAGTTTCTTGCACGAGTCACCATGGGAGAGATTACGACTGTTGCGAGAGAAGATACCAAATGTGATGTTCCAGATGTTGTTGCGTGGGAGAAATGCAGTTGGGTATATGAACTACCCCGAGAACTTAATCAAAGAGTTTGTGAATCAGTCTGCGACGATTGGCATCGATGTCTTCAGAATATTTGATTGTTTCAATGACATCAATTCGATGGAAACGTGTGTCAAAGCGGTAAGAGAAGCAAACAAGGTAGCGCAGTGTTGCATATGCTTTACCGGCGATTTCATGAGTCCGGAGGAGAAGATATACACATTGGACTATTACAAGGGAGTTGCTAAGAAGATCACAGAAATCCAAGCTCACTGCATTTGTATCAAAGACATGGCTGGGCTCTTTAAACCACAGATGGCTGTGCCATTCTTAAAGGCTTTGAGAGAAGTCACGGACCTTCCTATTTTCTTCCATTCCCATAACACCAGTGGCACTATGTTGAACACTTTAATTGCACTTTCTGCGGCGGGAGTAGCGGGGGTCGATGTTGCTCTTCCATCAATGAGCGATTGCACTTCACAGCCATCAATGGGCGCTTTACTCGCGTGTTTGGAAGGAGGCGAGCGTGCTCCGAAAATAGATTACCGTAAATTGGAGCGCGTCGACTCGCAGTGGAGAAGCATCCGTTCGCTCTACTTTAACAACGAAAGTGGAATGAAGGGTGGAACAACGCGAGTGTATGAACATCAAATGCCCGGTGGACAGTACTCCAATTTACAGGCGCAATGCAAAGCACTTGGGTTATGGGATCGATGGGATGAAATCACACAGATGTATGCAGATGTCAATAAAGTGTTAGGGGACATCATCAAAGTAACACCGTCGAGCAAAGTTGTTGGTGATTTGGCACTCTTCTTAGTGAACAAAGGATTAAAAGCTAGTGATGTAATGGATAAAGACGTTCACATAGAATTTCCTGAGAGTGTGATAGGGTTGGCTAGTGGCAAACTTGGATATCCACACAAAGGGTTTCCGGAAGGATTTGTTGAGAGAGTGTTGGCGAAGAAAGTAGTGGTTCATGAAGATCCGGCGCCTTACGAATTCAATACGGCGCGCTCTTATTTGCAAGGGAAGTATGGGAGAAACTTCAAAATGGAGGAAGTTGTGAGTTACGGGTTATATCCAAAACAATATGAGGCGTTCTTAGAGTTCCACAAAAAGAATGGAGGAGACTATTTATTGACATTGCCATCAATGGTGTTCTTCTTTGGAATGAATGTGAATCAAAGCATTACCGTTGTTCCTTGTGATAAACAAAGGTACGACGATGTCAACATCAAATTGATTCGTATTGGGCCAATCAACTTGGATGATGTCAGACCTTTGTTCTTTGTCGTGAATGGTAGTCGTCACGATGTTAAAGTGCAAGAAGGTGTTTGCAAGCGATGCATGTTACAACCGGCAGATCCTAAGAATCAGACGCACATAGGATCTCCACTGAGTGGAAATGTTGGGAATGTGACCGTGAAAGAAGGCGATGAAGTGTTGAAAGGTGCTCCAATAATGACAGTTGAAGCTATGAAAATGAAGATTACAGTGGGTGCTCCATTCAGAGGGATAGTCAAAAAAATCATGGCTGCTGAAGAAGCAAAAGTAGAGAATGGAACACTTCTAGCTATAATAACCCCTCTCGATAAGTAAGTCTTTATTATTTAAAAGTTAATAGTATTAATATATTCACTTCAAATCAATTAACGAAATATAAATTAACTTAAAACTATATATATATAGTTTCACTCGATTTTTGTTGTCACATACAAATCACCACAACCTACTCCATCGCATTTTGGAAGACCAAATCCATCAAATTTATAACATGCGTTATTTTCAATTGAAATGTTTAATGATATACTCTCACCAGAAAGCAATGTAATTGGAATGTCTGTCGTCATCCCTTCACATCCTTTTTCAAAGTGCAACACACACGACAAGTCACTCTCATCTTTTCTTTGAAAGAAATCGTGCTTCGAGGTGTATACTATTTCAAACGTTTTTGTTGTTCCATTGTCAAGAAACGATAAGACGTTTGAAGACCGTTCGAGAAAGCCTCTTTGAATAGGAATAGAGTAAACACCCCCATCAATTTGCGCCTCAACATTTCCACCAATCATTACACATTCCAAAGGAACACATACTTCAATACTTCGTGTTGTTTCAATTTGTTTGTTTTGAAGTATAGAGTCTGGGTGTGGAGGGTCTCCTTGTGCTTGTGTTGTGTCGAACTGGCTCAACTTCTGCTCTAATAAGGCACTCTTTGTTTTTTCTTCTTCCAATAATGCTTTAATCTTCTCTTCTCGATTAAGTGTAATCTGGAGTTCACTTTGAAGTCTCTCAATTTCACTTTTCTGTTTCTCGTTTTCGTCGATGAGGGGCTGTGTGTCATCACCAGTGTCGTCAAACAATTTTTCGACGAAGCGATACTCTCCTCTCCAAAACTCGACTTTCTCTTCCGCTCGTTTTGTCTCACTCTTCTGGTGTTGGTTTTCCAATTCCAAGCTAGATATTCGTTTCAATAAATCGTCGACAAGTTGTTGATCATTCATTAATGGAGTCGATGCACTTTGTGTGACTAATGGCGAAGCACTTTGTGTTATTTTTGGACGAGTGTCTTGTACTACTTCATTTTCTTTTTTCTCATGTTTTAGACTTTTAAAGAGCGACTTTGTTTGCTTTGTCGCCTTCTGTGAAGCTTTTGATTCCTCTTCGAATAGCAACACTTTTTGTGGAATTTTTAATTGTTCTTTTTGGTGCGGACTTTCTTTGGGAACGGGCAACGTTTGAGCTAACTGTTTTGCAGCATCTTTCTTTTCTTCATCAATTTGTTTTTCAAGTTCTTGAAGGTCATCAGTGATATCTAAATCCATGTCGTCATTAGTACTTTCAGATAAGATGTCTCCCAACTCTGCAGACTTCGAATTGTTTTCATGAAGGGAATACATCACTTCCTCGACCTTTTTAACATCAACACTTTTGTTCAATCGAGTCATTGCACTGTTCAAATCCTTCATAGAGTCGGAAACCTTTTTCTTCGCTCTTAAATTCTCAATTTCAAGTATTTGGCTCTCCAAATTGATTATAAAATTTTGGGTCTCGCTTACCGCTTTTTCGTACATCTTTTTCTTTTTCAAGTGGACAGTTGCACCTTCTTTGTCATTATTAATATAACACTGTTTTGAGAGCTTGAGTTCCTCACTAATTATCTGTGTGTCATGGTCAATTTTTAGCTTCAGAAATTTGATCCGTTCTTGAGTCTTAGCAACCGCCTTTTTTTGTCTTGATCGATAATAAAAATCCATTGAACAGCTTTTTCGAGTTTCAGTGTTTCAATAAAAATCGTTTATTCATAGTTATTCATTTATTGTAATGATTGTTTTTCTAACATCATTACACTTCTTTAAATTGTAAATCAAATTCACTTCTATAAAATAGTTAATTCAATATTAAATTTTAATATGAGATAAGAAACTATATATTTAAGTAAATTAAATTATAAATATATAGTTTTAGTTCAACTATAAATAGTAAATAATATACTACTAATTAAAGGTTCAAAAATGGTTAATATTTCTATTACTATGTTATACACAGAAATTACTTGTGTTTTAATTAGTCCAAATTCCCGTCAGTTTAGTAGAAAATACCGTAAATACAATTCTATCGCTTTTTCAATCTTAAAAAGCAAAGTATGGCGCAAGAAGCCGTTAAAGTTGTTGTCATTGGAGATCAAGCAGTCGGGAAGACATGTATATCCTCCCGCTTTGTTGATGGGACGTTTAAACAAGACGAGAAGTCGACTATAGGTGCATCGTTCGCGACAACATTTTTGCCTATAGATGGTAACAACATGAAGATTGTTATGTTTGTTATGTTTTTTTTTCATGTGATATGACAAATGTTATATATAACATACTTAATAATATTTTGGTTTTATTTGATATAGAAATAACTATTAGATGGGATACTGGTTTGGTTTTAGAATAATTAATTATTAATATACTATAAGAAGTACTAATTTTAATAAATATAAGTTTATTCATAAGACTAATGGAATATTAGAATTGTATAATATATATTATAACAAATAATGACTTGAAGCTGGACAAGAGGTTTGTGTTCCACTACTCTTCAACACATAGAGTTAACTCAATGTACTCACAACATTAGAAGTATCGTAGTATGGTCGGAATGTATTATAGGTTAGTCTTTAATGAATAATCAAATAATAAGTGACACGTAGAGGAGCAAATGTGGCGTTAATATGTTATGATATTACATCTCAATCTTCATTTGATTCGTTGGAAGGGTGGTACACAGATTTAATGAAAACTGCATTACCTGATGTTTCTATAGCTATCGTTGGAAACAAATTGGATTTGGAGTACATGAGAGTCATTAGCGCTGCTCAAGGATCTGCTTTTGCCGAGAAGCACAATGGGCTATTTTTCGAAGTCTCTGCACAGAGTGGAGCCAGTTTGTTAATATTGAATGTTAATACATTCTTTGTTGTTTTGTATCATTATTCCATGCCGTTAGACTCTTACACTAAACATTAGATGTTATGGAAATGTTCACCGAGGCCGTTAAAAAATCCAAAACACAGCCTCCAGACCCACAAGCACAAAAAAACAATGACAAAGTCAATGTTGAAAAAGAACCGCCAAAAGAACCATCTCGCAGACGCTTTTGTTCTCTGTTCTAACCTTTTAATTCACAATGTTTACTTAGTTTTGGTTTAATAGAATATTAATAGAACAATTATTACACTAGGG